ACATACTTTCGCACAAACTGATACTGGCGGGGCCAGCAAAAGTCTCGACTTACCGTGAGATATGTTTTCTCGGCCACGATGTCCTCCCTATAGGAGCATCGTGATATTTCGAACATGATCCGCAAACGCAGATCAGTATCATCTGGAATGACAACACGTGGTGTGTCACCAGAAACGGCTGTATAGTACAGTAAACCGTTACGAGTAGTGTATCGATCTGATGCAGATCGATACGCAGACGACAATCGTTTCAACGATTCTCGAGATGGTTGGGAGAGATGTGACAACAACTTCACTATCTCACCATCTTGGGCGTATGCCCGCCTCACATCATCATACAACGTTGTAGATGGAACTGAGGACGTCATAACCGCAACAGTGACTGTCTCACTGTTGGGTTTCGCGACTGTTTCAAAGTCGGGACGACGTGAGAGTGCATCAGCGACGACATTAAGTCGTCCTGGTTTGTACTGACCGTAAAGTTGTATTCTGCAAAGAATGACAACCACCGCGCCATTCGTTGTGAAAGGTGCGGGCTGTTCACTGCCGTGCGTAAGGACGCATGGTCAGTGTAAACAACGAAGGGTCTATCTCCTAATAGATAGACTCTGAACTTCGCGAGTGCATACTTCATGGCAAGGAGTTCCTTGTCATGCACTGGATAGTTCCGCTCAGCTGGTTGCAGCTGACGCGACTGATAGCAGACGACGCGTTCAACGCCTTCAAGGTCGTACTGCATTAATGCACAGCCGATTGCGAAATCGCTGGCATCACAGACCACATGAAATGGCCTGTCCTGATCGGCTATTGCTAGGACTGGGGATTGTATCAAGCTCTGCTTGATACCCTCAAAGGAGCGTTGACATTCAGCGTTCCATAACCACCTCTCGTTCTTTTTCAACAAACGAGAGAGGTGTACAGTCATCTCGGCGTAATTGCGTGAATACTTATGCAAATACGCCGCTAGCCCAAGGAATTTTCGAAGACCTTTGACATCGACCGGCACAGGCCAGTCGGTGATCGCCTTGATCTTTTCGGGATCAGGACGTACACCGTTCTTACCAACAATGCACCCAAGAAGTGGTATTCGCTTGCTGCAAATAAACACTTCTTGAGGTTTGCATACAATTGATGCTTTCTCATGATTGTAAGAACCTGTCGGACGTGGTACCTGTGAACCTCAACATCCGATTTTCCATCCATATCCCGACTATGGATGAATACGTCATCGAAATAACTCGGCGCGAATTCTCGTACTGGTCTCAACAGATGTGATGCACATCTGTTGAACGTGGCAGGGGCATTACTAAGCCCTTGTGGCATTACTAGCCATTCCAAGAGCATGCCGCTAGGCGTGCTCACTGCGGTATAGGGTATATACCGTTCTTGCATAAGGATTTGATAGAAGCCATCCATCAAATCCATGGACGAAAAGATGGTACTCTTTGACATACCATCGATGATTACGTCCTCCCTCGGTATCGGCTTCTGAGCCGGTACCGTTGCAGCGTTCAATTTGTTAAACGCGTGCACTATCCGCCACCCTCCTGTTGCTTTTCGCACACAGAAGGTCGGAGAGCTATGTGGGGAAGTTGATTCCCTCACATGGCCTGGCTGCTAAACGATCGGCAAAGAACTTGTCGATCGCAAGTACTGGTTCACGAGGCAGTGGCCACTGCTTCATGACACAGTACTTCGAGCCTGGTTTAAGCTCGACTTCGTGTCGAATACCTTTATCCTTCGGTAATTCGCACGGAACAGTTTCAGGGAATACATCCTTGAATTCAACCAAATCTTCATAGAGAGGATTTTCCTTGAGCGATTCCCATGATTGGGACTCATATCGCTCAATTCGTGTCTTTTCATCTAGGACACTCTCGTCCATAGATGAACTACTGAGAACTCTCTCGTTCTCAGTAAACACTGTTGCTGACCTTATGTCGGTTACATACTCGTCTTCAGCGACGAGTATGCAGATCTGCTTGACTTTGCCACTACGCAGATCACGCAAGAACCTTTATGTTCGAGCGTTGGCAACTGAGTGATCTCCGAAGTTAACTTCGGAGGCGCAATCAGATCAAGTGTATAAGCGCCTACACATGATCCGTTATTGACTATGACATTCAATGTCTCTGTCATTTCCTGGGGACTTATTCCCTCAGGCTTCGAAGGACTTATTCCTTCGTCTTCCCGGGGACTTATTCCCGCGGGTTTCGGGGAACTTATTTCCGCCGTATTTGTAATCTTGGGACTTATTCCCTTTACTTCCTCTAGCTGGGGTTGCGCAACCACAGCGAGATCCTCTACGAAAGACTCTCCAGTCGATCTAGGATTATCGTTTCGCTTAACCTGAGCGATCGATTGTTTCTCTTCTAGATGTTCCCCTCTAGGGATACATCTTTGTCCCAGTCCACCCGACTTATTCGAGTGGTGGACCTTCGGCGCAGCCTGTGTTTCCTCACAGCCGCCGGAACTTTGCTCCGAAGTGTAACCGTTTGGTACACTAAGGTTTTGTGCAGTCGTACTAACGACCGTACCACAAGTGAGGCCATCGCACTCACTCGTAGTACATCCACACGCTTGTGGACGCTCCAAAACGTTCATCAGATGGCCATCTGATGAACAAGCGGCAGGCATCGTTACTGTCCGATGTTGCCAGTTTACCCGTGGTTCGTACCTTCTGAGCCACGGTATTCCAAGGATGACATCAAATTTGTCATCCAAATCCAATACGATAAAGTCATCGTCGTATTGGGTATCTTCTAGCGTATAGTGAATCTTCACTATACGCTTCATGACGGTTACGGATGCGCCTGTCGCAAGACGTACCGTCATCCTCGTAGGAGGTGTGTCACATTCACTGAATTTAAAGTGACCATCTTCTAGCGATTGGCGTCGCACAAAATTGTTGGATGCCCCACAATCGACTAGAGCTCGAAGGGACAACTTATTCGTCACTTCGAGTTTCAAGGTAATGAGTGAGATCTCATTACCTAGAGCAGCAACGCACAATGTCTGTGTGTTGGGAGCAACCTTCATCAAGAGGCCTACAAATTCTCTTGACGTTGCTGGATCAGTAGGGTGCTCCGCACCTACTGATCCTGTCCGTTTTTTGACGGTCCATCCCGTTGTTGCGTCTTTGCACCAACTGCGGACCCTCGTCCCTGCCCCTTTCTCACGGGTGGACGGTCACTACGCCCAGTGTCGCGAGACACTGGACGAGGGGCACTACACTCGTAAGCGTAGTGTCCTGTCTTTTGACATCTGTTGCATCTCTGCAACTTCTTGTAGCCTGTAGAGCGAGCCTTCTCGCTCTCTACATAACAGAGTTCCATCGGCTCTGGACCTCCGTTGTCATATCGTCTCGGTTGACGATATGATGTCGAGCTGGCGCGAGCCTGTCTCAGACTGAAGTCTTCCTGCTCCGCAATGGAAATGGCTTGTTCTAGTGAATCTAGTTCAAGCCGGAACAGGTGAGTCTTGACGGGACCATCCGCAAGACCCTGCATGAACACCGAAACCAACGTGTGTTCATCCACCGGATCGGAACTAATACAACTCGTGAGATGTCGTATATGTTGCGCGTAAGCGTGCACATCACGCTTACCTTGCTTGAGCTTCAAGAGTTCGGTTCGAGCTCTGAACTCAGCTCTAGGCGGTTCAAACGTTTGTCTGAGCCGCGACTTGAAGACTTCCAACGACCCAAACGCATATGGGTCGTGCAACTTGAGCCCCAGTGCCCAAGTCTTGGCACGTCCTGCCAGATTTGACTGGGCAAATGCAACTTGCATATCCCCGTCGCCGATGCGGCGCGCCCTTATGGCGTCATCCAATTCGACGAACCATCTCAAGAGGGAGTCTTCTTCGACCCCCCTATACTTTGAGATGTCAATCTTCAAAGTCTCGGGTCGACGCGAGTGCATCGACCCGCCAGCAGCAGCTTGCTGCTGTCTCAACAGTTCAAACTGTTGAGCACCTTGTTCTCTCAACAACTCTGCTTGTTGAGAACCTTGTTGGTGAAGCAAGGCTACTTTCTCGCGTTCTGCGTCAAGTTCATTTTGAATGAACTTGGCGATAGTAGCATGTTGGGCATCTCTATTGAGAGCCTCTAGCATGACGCTAACAGCATGGATGCCCATGGTCGAACCCATTCGTTCAACCGCATCCCATTCGACATCGCTCAAATGGGAGTAGCCGTCACGCGTAGCGTGAAAGCTTTGGTCATCTTCATCATCCAACATATTCATGTTGGATGTGAACGCGGTCCTTGGACGGACTACGAAGTGCTACCAGGTGTAACGGGGCACCCTGAAGCTTGTACTGGTGACAGTACAAGCTACTTATTCTGATAACAGAATAAGGCGGTGCCTCGTAACTTCACGTACACTCGTACGTGCAGAGGAAGACGGTAAGAAGAAGCGAGTACTCGGTTAGAGTAAAAGTAGAACTGTATTTATAATAGTTAATGTCTGCAATAAATCACTATTTATCTTCATCTAACTATGTCTAAATACAAATGTGTAAATCAGTTATCTGCTCACCACTCATTGCGTGCGTCTGTCGTGGCGCGTCTTCGTTGGTTGATATAATGGCCTATATCAACCAATTAGGGACTGCTTGGAAGTGCTACAGAATATTGTCCTTATGACAATATTCTGAGAATATAACTCTTATAGTTATATTCTATTAACAATTTCTTATAAATTGTTATGTAACGATTCACCCCGTTACAGGTAAGGAAAAAGCACATCCGGACGTCGAATCGTCCGTGCAAAATCCATGGTACACTTTTTTTCATTCACTGTGCCATCTTTACAACACAACAACACTGTCGTCGTACAATTGTCACGACCGTGCGAACATGCTACCCGATTTCGTATCCACCACGTACCCCCCTCCTACCGCCTCGAAAGTAGTCACCCAATAGTTACTCCAAGTACTCCTTCTGCATACTACTAGTCCCACGCGTCTCACAACAAAATCAGCCTCGCCATTGGCAAATGGCTCGCAAGATGAAGAAAGCGTCGACCTCCACGACAGCGCGAGCGACGCGCATCAACAAGGACGTCAAGACGACGCTCACGCACAGTCGTGTGCTGTCCTTCCTCTACGACTTTATGTGGAGCTACCGCTACTTCCCCCAGCTCGCCTGCCTTCTACTGCTGCTCGAAGCGGGTGTGGGCTACATGATCATTCAGAAAGTGCCGTGTACGTCAACCTGTGCTTCCCTACAATGCAATACAATACAATGCAATGCAATGCAATGCAGTACAATGCAATAGATGGAGGTTACCTAACTGATTGCTCCTTATCATGTGTAGATACCGAGATCGACTGGTCCACGTACATGCAGCAGGTGGAGCTGTTCAAGCATGGAGAGCGTGATTACCTCAATATTCGCGGTGATACTGGACCGCTCGTGTACCCTGCAGGCTTCGTGTACCTCTTTTCGTTCCTGCACTCGGTCACCGACGACGGACAGAACGTTCGACGGGCCCAGTACATTTTTCTAGGCTTCTACCTCGTCATGATTGCCACCGTGTTGGCCATCTACTACCGAGCGCGTGTCCTGCCACCGTGGGCCACTGTCTTCTTGTGCATATCGAAGCGTCTGCACTCGATCTTTATGCTGCGCATGTTCAATGACGGCGTGGCGATGATGCTGCTGTTCCTGGCTGTGTATCTGTTCGCCCGCCAACGCTGGCGCTGGGGATGCGCACTTTTTAGTCTCGCCGTGTCGGTCAAGATGAACGTCTTGCTGTTTGCACCGGCGCTGTTCTTCTTGTTGCTGCAGTCGTGTGGCATCCTACGCACGGCCTGGTACCTACTGGTCTGCGCCGCTATTCAGATTGCATTGGGCTACCCGTTCCTCAAGCACAATTGGTGGGGCTACGTAAACCAAGCATTCGATCTCAGCCGCGTGTTTACGTTCAAGTGGACGGTGAATTGGCGTTTCCTTGACGAAGAAACGTTTGTGTCAGGTGGATTCGCGCTACTGTTGCTATTGGGGCACCTGTTCTTCATGGTGCTTCTTCTGGACAAGCACTTTAATATCGTGGGCACCATTCGCGCTGTGATGATGAAGCCATTTGCTATATACGAGCCGTTTCCAATCCAAAGTGAGATCGTGGTCACGTCGCTGTTTGTGATGAACTTTGTGGGGATCGTGTTCTCGCGCACGCTGCACTACCAGTTCTATGCGTGGTACTACCCGACGCTGCCATACTTGCTGTGGTGTTCCGACCTGCCTTTGCTACTCAAGATGGCAGCGCTGCTGAACAACGAGTACGCCTTCAACACGTTCCCGTCGACTACTATGAGCTCGATCATGCTGCAGCTCACCAACATGTTCTTGCTCATCACGCTGTACCTGAACCAGAAGTCGAACAATTTCGTGCCGTACCTGGATGCAGAGTCGCGCATCAATCTGATCGCGTTCGTGAACGAAGAGTGTTTCGACGGTGCACGTCAGCTCGCTCTGTACTACGGCAGTGTGACCCAAGATTTGGCGGAAGGAGCGAGGGTCTCGTCCATTGACGAGCACGAGGTCGTGCTGTCACTCCCCACGATGAAGCTCACGCTCGCAGTTGGCTTTGGTAGCAGCGGACCCGTCACGGGGGAAGGTTACGGTCGTCAAGTGCTCAAGGACATGCTCCGTGAAGCTGCTGAGGGCATCAAGAGCGGCGACACCATGGGCAAGCTCATCAACCGCGAGTACACGAAGGAGAAGGAGCTGGAGCGACTAGTTAACTCGCTGGACGAGCAGCACGAGAGTATCAACAAGAGCCAGTCGCTACGTCAGCGTACGACCACCGAGACAGTGACGTCGACGTCGTCGACGAACGTGTAACCGAATACCCTTGTGAATGCAATGTGTGTGTGGACCTTCCTTTACCTGTGAGACTTGATACCGCTGACCATTCGTACCAGCCATTTGGATCGGTCACTTTTCAAATGACCGTGGCCTTGGCATTCGAGAGTGACGATGGCTCGCGAGTCATTGAGACGCAGCTGCAGGTCCACGAGAGCGACGGGGTGCGCGTCCAAGACCGGGACTTCCGAGATTATTACGACGTGGCGCGCACGGTAGAGCAGCTCCATCGGGGCGGGTACAGGAAGATCGCGCTGCAGTTTCCAGACTCGCTCCTGCCGGATGCACCTCAGGTCCAGAAGGAGCTGAAGGACCGACTCAATGGCCAATGGGAGCGCGTGTTTGTGCTGGGCGATACGTCGTACGGAAGCTGCTGCGTGGACGAAGTGGCGGCGCAGCACCTGGTTGCGGACTGCATTGTGCACTACGGCCGGTCCTGTTTAAGGTGAGAGTTTGGGTTCGTTAACGTGTAAAGCTGCAGTTGGTGAGAGGTGACGATAGGCTGTGCTGATAATGTTGTTGTTGTTGGTTTGATTGTCGTTGGTTTGATTGTAAACTGTTGCTGCTTTTATTGGCGGTTCGTTTTGTAGTACGACGACGAAGATTCCGGTGATTTACGTGTTTGGCAATGCGCCAATTCAAGTTGACGAGTGTGTGGAGCAGTTGAGTGAGCGAGTTGCAGCCGTCGATGTAAAGAAGATGTTGGTGCTGCTGTATGAACCTCGCTACCATCATGCAAGTTGTGCTGTCTTTGAAAGGCTCAAGGAGAAAGTCGACGGACGCAAGCTGGTGTTTGGAATCATGAAAACGTTCTATGACCCGACGGAAGAGGTCGAAGACGTTGAGACGTCGAATGAGGGTGAGCAATCTTCGCTGTCAGTGCTTCACATTGGAGGACAAGACATTGTCGTGGACTCCGAGACTGCCGAGGTCACTTCGGAAACGTTTGCGGTGCTGTACATTGGGACAGAGTCGGCACACCTCACCAGTATTCTCATGCGGCACAGCACTGTCGATTGCTTTTCGTACAATCCTGAGACGATGTCGACTCGCAAAGAGGGTGCAACTGTCAATCGTGCGCTTATGAGACGGTAAGATTTTATTTTTCGGGTGCAATGAAGATGAGACAACTGACGCGCTGCTTGGATGTAGTTTTTTTCTTGTCCAACAAGCCAAGGAAGCACAGATTTACGGCATTTTGATGGGTACGCTCGGTGTCAACAAGTACCTGGACGTGGTGCATGGTGTTCAGAAGCTGATCAAAAAGTGAGGGTTTGTAAAAAGCTCGTTTTTGTGGCAGTGGGTGGCTGTTGTGGCGGTGAAACTAACAAACAAATCTGCGCTGTGCGTTTTAGAAGCGGACGTAAGTCGTACCTGTTCGTCGTGGGTAAAGTCAATGTGCCCAAACTCGCCAATTACGCCGAGATCGACGCTTTTGTGCTTGTGGCATGTCAGCAGAATACGTTGATGGATAGCAAGGAGTTCTACAAGCCAATCGTGACTCCGTACGAGCTGCAACTTGCGTTGTCACCCACTGACGTGTGGGATGGCCAATACAAGATGGACTTTCGCGAGGTGATACCAGCACTCGAGCACACGGCGCGGAGCGTGGAACAGGTTTTCGGTGGAGGTGCGGCGGATGACGTCGACAAACCGTTTTTCTCGCTGGTTTCTGGAACATACAAAGCATCTTCACGGTCGACGGCAGCTAACCGCGAGGCTACAGTCCACGCACTCACAGCATCAGCTGAGGAGCTTGACGCATCAAGTGCGTTGCAGGTCAAAGATGAACGCAAGGAGCTTTCGACATACCGCAGTGAGGCTGGTGACTATTTGACTACAAGGGAGTACCAAGGTTTGGACCCACGTATTGGTCAGACGCCTGCACATGCCGCTACCGAAGGCAGCACCGGTATTGCACGTGGATACACACATGAAATTGAATAGAAAGCCATAAGATGAAGAAAGCTGTAGCACGATTTTAACTTGACACTTCATCGCTTGACAAGTTGAGAAGTTGACAAAGCTCTCCCGAGTGTCATTATTGCGAGTCGAAGGGTGAAGCTCTTAGTGACTGGACGCACAGTGATTATCAACCTGATCAAAACCTACTTTCTGCCACATACATGTCTGTGAATAACGATGACGCTGAGTGTATCCTTACACCTCCCGCTAAGTGCGATATAGCCTCCTCTTTTTTGGATCATGCTTTTTTTAAAAGTCAAAAAGTGCCAGCACGAAAAAAGGATAGAATTACGCAGCATCAAAATAACCATTCTCAGTACAAATTAACGCATCAACCTAAAAAGACCTTTAGGAACATGAGCGACATCGCTACGTCCCGCGCGGAAGTCATGGAGAGTACGTTACCTCACGTCAGAACCAATACCAGATGCACTCATTAATTAACCCACTGTCTTCTCTACCTTTTCCACCCCTTCGCAGCCGTGTACGAACTCTCCCGATTGCTCAATACCGGTCTAGACCGCGACACTCTGGCCATCCTCATGGCGCTCATCCAAAAGGGCGTCAATCCTGAGGCTCTAGCTGCAGTAGTAAAAGACCTTCGGAAAGAATCAGCAGAGTCAGCAGCCACAGCCACTAATCACCACCACCACCACCAAGAGACCGAAGCTCCGCGGGAACGGACGTTTATCGGTGGCAAGCAGCCGCTGTCGCCTCAGGAACTCCAGGTCAGTCAGGTGTGTCGACAGAAGCAGAAAAGGAGCACGGCGTTTGTTCGCCTGATTGCCTCCTCGATTTCTTCTGGATGCTGAGCACTTGTACTGACGCCAAGCTTTGCTGTGATGCTCTTTTTTGTGCCTGTTAGAAGAAACATCGGTCGGACTACTAGTTGGGAGATCTGCTAGTTCCGAGTGACACGGTGCATCTCGACAATAAGGATACGACTTTCCACGGAGAGAGCAACAGTGAAGAAGACAATGGCCATCACTGGACGAAGCACCGGGTCTTGGAACCAATCCGTCCGCCTGAGCACGTAAAGAAACTGAAGCTGCGCCAATACCAAGAGCGGCAGCTTCTTAAGACACCAGTAGACTCCACCCACTAGTAACTCGGAAATCGCAGGCACTTCGTCCGTTTTCCAATGAGCAGTACGCAGCGTGTGCGCTACTGCAAATACGAGCAATAGCGTGGTTAGCATCAGATCGTGTACGATCAGCCAGAGCTTGCCTGCGTAGCTTGGTTGCATTGTCGTAGGAATCACCTGAATGCTGCACCAGGTGAGCAGCCCGACGATCGAGAAGGCCGAGACGAGGGGCATGGATGCTACGGCATGCAAGATGTTGCACGAAAACTGACAGGCTCGACGCACCGCACGCGAATTGAACACGTCAAACGGCTGTGCATTACCAGGAGCAGGTGTTCCCGAGCTTGACAAACGTCTTGGTCGTCCACTAGGCTCATTAAACAGCTTCAAGCAGAGTGAAACGTAGGCAACCCAAACAAAGGCCGCAATCACAAAGGCGGACATCACTTTCTCAAGGAAGTAGCCAAAGTGGTTTTCTCCAAGACGGTCGCGCACATCCTGCCAGTACCAGAACACCTGGAAATAGGTATATGGCAGCCAGAACCACGGCTTGATCGTCGCTCCGCTGTACTTGTAACTCAGCAACGGGCCAGGGATCTCTCCAGTCGCCAGATCCTTGTCCTTGCATTTGTACAGGTCCCAGTTCATGCGCTCGTAGAAAACCATGTGGTTGATACTGTAGTAGAACGGCAGCCGATGGACGATGGAATGGTCGTCTGCTTCGCCTGCATCATCAGCATCGTCCGCGCCATCACTTTCATCATCCTTCTTGCCTCTATCCCCTCCGAGAAAAAAGAGCGGACTCTCCTCAAACGCTTCAAACAAACCGGGTATGAAGCCCTGGATAATGCCAATGTAATTGTACTCGCGTCCCGTGATCATGAACCCATCGATCGCATCCGAGTACAAGTTCCGTGCAGCAAGGCACTCGGGCGAAATAACGAGCAGTCCGTTCGAGTACACGACCGACTGTCCGTTGTCCACGGCACACAACTGATGGCAGGCAAAGATCTCGTCCAAGTTCCGCAGCACGAGGTTCTCCGGATCGAGATACACCACGCGCTTGAGCGCCGAGATCCGCGGGTCGTCCCAAATCACCAGTTTGTTCCGCATATGCAGCAGCTGCGAGCGATGGTCAGTGAGCGGCATGTACCGGAACACATTGGGCATGGATGTGCGCACGATCTCAACGTCCGGATCGTCGCTCTTGAGCGTCTGCTCACTGCTCTCCTGGAGTCCGTCCTGCGGCACGATCACCAGGCGGCGGTACTTGGTATGGGAGTCCTTGATACTGCGCATGAGCACGCGCGTGGCCAGCAACAGCGCCTCGCTGTCTTCTCCATAGTCATACAGGATGGTAGCGAATGCCCCGTCAAGAGGTTCGACGACGCTCTCGGGCGCTAGAGTGGCTGGCGTCTTGATCTTGGTCTTGGACGTAACAGAAGCATGACAGTCGTTGGAGAATGTGGTGATGAGGAGAAGGAGGGACAGCCACGGCTGTCGCTTGGAGCGATTGACGACGGGAGACGAGCGGATGGGGACCATGATGATGGAGTGGTGAAGGGATGCTGCACGAGCAGCTGTTTAATCGTGTGGACCACGTTAGACTTGACCCTCTTGGTTGTGGTACTTCAGATTGTACTGGTGCGTTACAAAATGTACCTGCACTTAAGGACATAAGATGGAGGAGCAAGCTCTGGAGCTCGTTCCTTAATATGAGGAATCTAGTTCGAAGAACTGAATCCAGCTGCAAAAATCTATACAACAGCAGTCACTAGAGAAAGTGTATGATGCTGTCAATGTCTGTAACAACATAGTGCAGTATACTCAAGCAACGCGATCGACCCTTAGTTATGAGCGTCCGGCATTTGCTTATGCGATCATATTCACCTTTGATCGATGTTGAGCCAATCAGAGGGTGCATCACAACATTGACCTGGCCAAAATGTGATACCTATCATGCTAATCAACCTACGAGGGAAGAAGAACTGATTGTATTTCGTACGAGTCAGGTACACCTAATCGCGTTATTTACAGACACACAGACAGATAGAATGATCCACGGATACGTACGATTCAAAGCTCGGCATTTAACCTTGTGCCTACTCGCCAATATTTTCACGCTTCGGACTCGCACTAACGTGTCTACGAGTCACGAGAATGTATCCGTTTGTTCGACGGAGTGGTTTTTACAACCGTAACCGTCGCTGCTGAGCGGCAGCCGTCACATTCTCGCGCCGACGTTTCCCGTCGCCTTCCGAGCGTGTTCCGTGCGCTTTACAGGCGACAAATGTCCAGTTGTTCGACATTCGCCCGCTCATCCGAATCATAGCGAACAAAGATATCGAGGTCATAAGTCCGTCCATTCTTCCGTCCAGCCATCTGTTTGCTCCTTGATGATTTCCGCCTTATTCCAGTCAGTCGTCATATCAGGCAAAACTTCATGTCGAGTCCACCCTCGGACCCATCGGTCGTCCCTATCTCGCGCTGTTTCGACCTTTCTTCGCGCGGCTTCTCAAGTGCCTCTTGGCGTCTCCGTCCACACATCGCCCAGCACAGTCCAACGTCGTATACATACGAAAGCTCAGCTAGGAGAAGCAGCTCCCTACGTCCCTAACGTTTGACCGTGCGCTAACTGCCATCGCTGCACGCAGAGCGCACTCCAGTCAGTCATAACCTTTTGGCTACACCCTCCCCCCTCTATCAGTCGATCCGGGGTCACTACAGCAGCAGTCTTGACCACGTACACAGTCGGGGAGACACCTGTCCATCCACAGTCGACATCATGGCGACTCGAGAGACAGCAGGTCGAAGTTCGAGTAAGCTCGTAGCCCCGCTGGATAACACGCAATTTGACATGGGGGTGACCTTGGGTACCGGATCTTTCGGTCGTGTTCGGTTCGCGACGCATAAAGTACGTGGTGAAAGGATAGGGCAATGGCTGGAGTAGCTGTTGGGTAGCTGCTGATGGATGGGAATGTTGTGGAATGTTGTTCTTGGTGGTATGTAGGCGACCAACACGTACTGCGCGATCAAGATCCTGAAGAAAGCCGAGATTATTCGACTGCAGCAAGTCGAGCACATGCTGTCGGAAAAAGCGATTCTGCAATGCTTGGACCACCCGTTTATCGTGAACTTGATTGGTACGTACCAGGACACGAGATACTTGTACATGGTGCTCGAGTATGTGGTCGGTGGCGAGTTTTTCACGCACCTTCGGAAAGTCGGACGCTTTGATACCAGCGCAGCCAAGTTTTACGCCGCACAGATCGTGTCAGTCTTCGAGTACATGCACAGTCAGAACTTCATCTACCGCGACCTGAAGCCTGAGAACTTACTGCTCGACAGTCACGGCTACATCAAGATCACGGACTTTGGGTTTGCGAAGCGCGTGGCGTTCAAGACGTACACGCTTTGTGGCACACCCGAGTATATTGCACCGGAGGTGCTGCTGAACAAGGGACACGGCAAAGGTGTGGACTGGTGGACGCTTGGGATCTTGCTCTACGAGATGCTCGCAGGTCAGCCGCCGTTCTATGATGAAGACCCCATGGGCATATACCAGCAGATTCTCTCCGGCAAGATTAACTTCCCGCGCTTCTTTGATCGCAACGCTAAGGGACTTATCAAGCGATTGCTTACCGCCGATCTTACGAAACGATACGGATGTTTGAGGAACGGAGCGGACGACATCAAGAAGCACAAGTTTTTTGCCGGTGTGAATTGGGACGACTTGTTAGCGCGGAGGTGTGCCGCACCGATCATACCACGTGTTGGCTCAGCTAGCGATACGTCCAATTTCGACTCGTACCCGGACTCCACGGAGGATGCGATGGTTCCCGTTTACAACGGCAGGGATCCGTTTGCCGATTTCTAGACGACATCCTTGTGGTTGTTCAAGGGAGCAAGGGTGACAATCAAGAAGAGATCAACGATGGTAATGAGATGACGCTGTTTCTAGTAGTGATGCAGCAAACAATCTGGGTGCAAGCTGCATACGAGAAGTAGAGGGGTGAGAAAACGAGGAGCCCGGCACGGAAACAAAGGAACGAAGTCGTGCATTTCTATTTATCACAAGGGTGTGGGTGTGCTTTTGCATGAGGCGACTATAGCAGCAATGAATGGACCCACGCACTCAGGCGAACGCTTATTTGATCACATGATGGAATTGCTGGTCTGCTGACTTCAGGGTAGGTCGCCTTTTAGTAGCAGCGTTTTTCAAACTTACACGAGTCGGTGCCGCACAGTAAGACTGTTCAATGCCTTGCTTGTTGCGATACCCATGGCAGAGTTATGAGTACACAACTCGATGCTGCAGTGAGGCATCCACCAGCTCATCATCATCGCTCAGCCTCCTTACAATCTCGAATTGGGGAACAACACCTTGTCGCCAGGAAAGCGGAAGTACATGGTGCTCTTCTTCATGATACTCTGGACGCGACCAGCATTATCAGGCTCTCGCAAGCCAGCAACAAAGGCGTCCACGACAACCTGGACTGGCATGAGCCCGTCCGTCATATTCGTATACTCGGGTAACATTTCTTCAGCTAGCCGCCCCATGTCCGTTTCGGCGAATCCCGGGCACATACAAAAGCAGCGCATGTTGTCTGACTTCTGGAGTGGATACAGCGACCGCGTGAACCCCACGACGCCCGCTTTGGCTGCTGCATAGTCCGGTGCAAACGGAGTAGTCGTGAGTCCAGCCATGCTGCCAACATTGACGACCACCCCTTCTCTACCATTGAGGGTGCGCTTGAACTCTGCAACTGCACACTTGGTGCCGCGTATGATTGCAGCCAGATCCACTTGAATAACCGTCTCCCAATGGGTGTTCCCGCCCTCGAAGAACGACCGATTACTGACGATCCCAGCATTGTTCACCAGCACGTTCACCGGTTCCTGGAAGTACTTGAAGCCGTACGCAAAAGCGCGCTTGAAACTCCCCTCTTCCGTGACGTTCTGGAGCTGCCAGCACACGTTCGTCTCGCCGTATTGACACTGAAGCTTCTTGCCCGTGGCTTCCAGCGTAGGTCCATCCACGTCCGTGAGCAAGACCTTGCCCTGTTCAAGCAGGATCTTTTCGGCAAAGGCGCGACCAAAGCCTCGAGCTCCACCAGTCACGATTGCCACAACCTCGTGCAGTTCCATTGGCGTTGATGTCGTTGCTGGTATTTCTGTGAGTGACTCGGCTTCCTGTGGACTGACCAAGTGAGAAATAAGCAAGTGGATAATGGGACAGTAGTGTAGAGTTTATCGACACAGAGGCGCGGGCAACACACTTGGGGAGAACGTCAGTACGTGGGGGAAATGGAAAGTATTTTCATTCCTACCGAACTAGAACTGCGAGCCCGATGGGTGACGCTACAGCATCCCGTTGACGTTATTGAGACTTGATGGACAATAAGTCGGACTTGTCCGTTTTTCTGGCTCGATGTGGGAATTCCGGACCTTTTTTGTGAAACAAGGTGGCTACCTGTAACGAACTGCGTGGGACTAGGACATTTCTGCCACTACTTCCGCAACCAGAGAGACTGCAGAACCATCCACGCCTGGTCGGCAATTAGTACTGCTTTTACGAAGTTTTAGTTGCACCCGCTGTTAGATTGGGGCCCACTTGATCCGCTTATTCTCGTTGTTTTTTTGTTTCATGTAGTCCACCCTAAAGTCGGTCCGCTCGCCACGTTGCTCGCTTGCTACTCATGGCGCTCCTGTGGCTCGTGGCGCTGCTGCTGGGGCTCGCAGGCGCTGGCTACATGTACGTCCAGCACCGCAGGGAGCTCCAGCGTCGAGATGTGAAGCTTCAGAAGGAGAAGGAGGAGCTGGCGCGTCAGCAGCTCCATAGTCTCAACAGCAAGAAGCACAGGAGCAAGACGAAGAAGAAGGTGGACGTGACGGCCGAGTTCAAGCGGAGGAAAGAAGGAGCTGTCGCTCAAGAAGACGAGGAGGCGGAGCAGGAGCGTGCTCTGCATGTTCTCAAGGGCCACAAGTTTGGCCTCACAGCTGCTGCCTACAGTCCGAACGGCCGCTTTGTAGCCACTGCCAGCTCGGATCGCTCGATTCGTCTCTACTTCCGTGAGACGCTCAAGCAGAAGCAACCCAAGGTGCACCATATTACTATGGAGTACGACCATGCTACAGCGCTGAGCTTTAGCACGGACGGACGCAGTCTAGTGAGTGATGTTGTCGTTGCTGCTGCTGTTGTTGTTATTGTGTGAGTGAAAGGATATGGACTGAGGTGCTGGGTTATATACGGTTTGATACAAGGTGGCTGCTACGGAGAACGGCACGGTGAAAGTTTACCGTACGTTTCTGTAATGTTGATATGAAGAAGACATGGGCATTGGTGATGCTGTGGGGCGAGTAGCTCATGCAGTGTTTTTTGGTGATGACTGCATGTATTGGTTGTGGTAGAAAAACTGCGTGCTAAGCCGGAGCTCGTGGCGGACTTTCCTACTTTGCACAAGACGGATGTTCACTCGGTACTCATGAACGATATTGGCAGCGTAAGTGGCGTTACACTTGTGCTGAAAGTCTGCACACGTGAGGTGATCTTATGAACGATCGTGTGCGCAAAAAAATTGCGTCGCGTCTTGCAATGAACAGTGGGCAACGATCATTACGTGCGCGGGTGATTCCGATACAGATGTCAAGTTTTGGAATCTGAGTGGTGAGCTGCTACAGACGGTGAACACGAATCAGGTTGCCAACTACCACTGCGTCGGTTCAAAAGACAATCGGTACATTGCCGTTGCCGCATACACACCGGAGGTCAAGATCTATGAAATTGCACGCGAGAAGTCGGGTGCCTTCCGGAAGGTCTCAAAGATCATGACGCTGCAAGGGCACAGGGTACGACAAACTATTGGGAAATTGAGCTGGATTCTGTCTGACACTTGATGACAAAAAACTTCAGACGGGCGTGGTCGATATTGCATTTGATGGCTCTGATGCGTTTCCAGTGAACCGCGTAGTTACGATCTCTAAGGATGCATTAGTTCGTCTGTGGGATATCAATGGTGCGTTTCAATATTTTCCGCAGTCACGTGGCTGTACTCCAAAGTGATCTTATTGTTTTCGTGGTTGGCTTTCTTGCAGTGCGGTACACTCTCCAAGAGGATCCTAAGGTACTGTCGGCATTCGCTGCCAGTGGAGAGAAGCCGTTCCAGGCAGTTGATTTTGCACCCAATGGAAAGGTACGAACCTGCTTTCCAAGGTTTGTCCCTTCTGAGTCGACGCTGATTCTCACGGCTCGCTGTCTGATCTCGCAGATGTTAGTCATGGTGCGGGGTAAGGACCTTGTCTTCGTACGAGCCGGTAGCAGCGATGAGTTTTGCACCATTCCTAACGCGATTGAAGATTCCATCAAGCGTGCAGTGTTCTCACCGGATGGATCCGAGGTGCTTGTGCTTGGTAAGAACTGTAAGCATGTTAAAGTGTACAAGGCACCGGAACTGTAGCGGGCAAAGGACTTGTCGACGCAGACAATCAAGTGACGACAGATCACAATGTTGACAGAACTCGGTGTTGCCACTTTTGTGCATCAAGCGTTGGCGAAATAGTGAGTATTCGCGCTAATCGCATCTGACCTTTGCGAGAACATCCAGCAGTTTCCACTTGAGCATGTCGATGTTCTCGGTGAGAATATACTTATCTGACCGGCGAGCAGCTATAGCCATCCACAAGTGGTTTAGCCTATCGCTTCGCTCGCCACCCTGCTTAGTCAGGTCATTTTCCCAGGACTCAAGCAACTTGTCGTCTTCTTCAGTCGATGTTGGGAAAGCCTCCAGCATTTTTTCCAAGGTGTAGACTAGACGCGTCAATGCTTCCTGCTCGTTAGCCAAGCTCACCATTTCTCCATCGAGTGCCTTCTGCGCCAGTACTTCAAACTCCTCGGGTGTGTCGCAATCGATCTCCTGGATCCGAGCAGCAATCAACAGCAGATCGTTGCTTTCATCTGCTACAAGCTCAAACATGTTGGTGGCATGGTCCAGTCCATTAGCAAGCAGCAGCTGTTCCTTCTCCTCGAAAAACTTAGTGGACAGTTCGTGCATGGGCAGCCACATCTCTACAGCATCGAACGGGTTTCCAATGACCACGAAACCGTACAGCGACAGCAGCTTGTGATTCGACAACGGACCATAATTTATGAACATCTGCGCGCCAGCATTCCAGTGCTGGTGACTCACAAGCTTGAACCGTTGACTTGCCACGTCAAAAAAGTGGGACATCTCGGCTTCCGGGTCGTGGTTCAGCATGTCAAACACAGGGACCATCGCCTTGAACGTCTGCTTAGCCATCAAATCGCACACACCTTTCGTCCCCGACACCATAACATCCCCTGTCACTCCATCTCGATCATCCACCAAAGACGAAGCTTCGTCAAGTCGTATTGACACAAAGCGACTCCAGATTGTCGAGAGCGCCCACTTGTAATTACCAAACGAAAAGTACGCCTCAAACGAGTCCTCATCGATCCCTTCAGTGACGATGCTTTCAAAAACATCCAATAAAACGGATCCCTTCAATCTCGCATAGTCGTGCGCGACCTGCTGTTCAATCTGCTGAGCCACAACCACCAAGTTGCTGCCTTCCAGTGCCTCCAGATCTTCCTCTTCAAAGTACAGAGCGTTGTAATACGTCTCCGGCAGCAGCTCAATGTGCTGAACCCACTTGGACTTCCTCCCTACGACAAACTTCTCAAACAACAAAGCAACAGCCAACTGATCGTCCTCTCGGTCCGGTCGGAGCTGCTGGAAGAACGCGATGCTTTGCAAATGTCCAATCTCCTGCACACTCCGGACCGTCAGCATCGAGTCCAGCGGGATACTCAGCACCTCTGTATGAGGCGGCACGTCCTCTGCAATGTACACGCCTCGCTCGGTTGCGCACGCCTCGTCCTGATACTCGTACACAAAGTCCGTGACGAGCTCGACCTGGAGCTGCTCGATCGCCCACTCGTTGTAGCCCACGAACACGTCCGGAAGCGCCTTCTCTTCGTCATCCGCCACTGCACGTGTCTCACCGTCTCGAAGCATCGACTTGTCTCACGTTTCAACTGGACCTTGTGCTTGTGCGTATGGTTGACTCGCGTGTGGCGGGCGCTGGGCTTGTTGTCATCCTCTTTTTGTGGATCGGGGATCGCGGACACTTGGGTAAAGTATGGTTGAAAGTAGTGTGGCAGTGGTGTGGCTGCGAAAGCCACTCAAGGTCCGTTTGTCGAGCGGGTCGGAATCCAAAGAGTTGATCGCAAAGCCAGCACCAAGCAGATACAAACATTGCAAAAGCCGCACCAGTTGCGTGACCAGTGCCATTTAGTGATGGAGTTAATGTGTACCACGCTATTCTATAGATGACCGAAAAATAAAAGGCTCCAGGTGCCATTGACAAAGAATAAATGCTATTATTGAATTGAGATGTCAGATAAACGGCAGCGATCGACTCAGGCGAGTTCATGGTGCCACTGGACTGGTGCGACCCCAGCTGTCCGCTAAAACGAAAAGTTTGCTGCGAAGAAATTATACCTGGGTCATGTGTATGCTCCATTGATGGCTTTGCCATGTCACGACTGCGAAACTAAAGTGCATGTCATGGATCATCGCGACATCAAATCAACAAAGAATGATTGAAACAGAGGAGAGAGAGGAGTATGTGTTTATGAAACATATAAACGCTGCTCGATGTCGTCTGTGTAGCCTAAGCCTGTACGACAAACTCGGTACTCAGTTATGTCCTGCAATTGTACAATGCCAAATACGTCGGCGGCGCATTGAAATGGTCATGAAATGCTTCTGACGATAGCACCGCACTTGTCCCCGTGCTTATGTATCTACGGACCACGCGAGACGCTTACTGTTCTTGAGTGCGCGATCGCCACAGCAAGGACGCGTGACGTGGTGTATGGTCTCAATTACCTCTACCCCGACCCGTCGAACGCACTGCACGACCATCGAAGCGTCCTAGTGTGCCGAGGCACATGGCAGCCGTGGCTTCTTCACCTATGATACAAAGATAAATTAGTCGACCTGAGCAAATACCGATAAACACAACATTCTCGATTCATACACACGTCGATCATATAAAGTGAGAACAGTCACGATAGCTTAGCACATCAGTAAGGTCTCATAACTGCAGTACCTTTGGCTCCGGTACGGTCGATCAATAGCGCATGACTTGAATCTAATCATTCACGAATGCCGCACGGTCACGTGTTACAGTTGTCAGTTTTAAATTCCAACTTTGACATAGATTGGTGGCCTACCGTCAGTTTCTGTGCTTCGCCCCGTCCCGACCTTCCTTCACCATATACCATGAGCGCGCGAGAAGCCTGCATAAGAATCCCCTCGCACAGTTTGAGGTCAAACAAGGGACGATCTCTGCAAAAGGTGGGTGGCCTTTAGAGTGAAGGAGGGAGGGCGTCTATAGTAGCTACTGCGGATTTAGGAATGGAAATATAACGACATGGTATTCCGTGCGGTGCACATTAATTTCATCACGAAGTGGTACTGGTTATGCAACTGGTGCGGGTTTTGCAACGGTTGCATGTGCTTGGTGCTGGATTTGCAATTTGCTCGAATCTAAACGTAGAGGAGCTCTATCTCGTTGATTCCCCGCACGAATCGATCGAAAAAAGGACCGCTCTTTTATTGTGGGCGTTCGTAAAAGACGTCTGGAAATGACCATAGCCAGGAGGTTCCTTACGCCAGGGTGTGGTTAATGCGGCGGGTACACGTAGCTCAATACTTCGTGTGGTAACTTCGTTTGGGGTGCGTGCTATGGAGCTCTGTACTAAACAATAGGCGCGTCCCTTGTACTGTGGAGTACGCCGCCATAAACGGATCCTCGAGCACACAACCTTTGACTATGACTCTTTCACACAACTCGGGTCGTCGGATTCACAAGGTTTTGTTGTGACGCATACCAAGCGTAATGTCCACTACATCTGTGTGCTGCAATCTTTGGCATCGTTCCCAATGCTTGGAGTACTCACTCACCTGGTAAGGCTGGAGACAGTTCTGGTGGTGTTCGGATCAGACATCGTCTTGCAGAGTCGGGTACGTCGCGGATCCCTAGCATGGATACATCCTGGAAATAAACTTGGCAGCCCCTGCATAACCTTCACATGTTCGAAGTTTCTGCGATTGGAGTCCTTCGTAACTTTCCACCCGTTACAGCGACGTTACAGCTGGGAAAGCCTTCGACGATCCGAATACAAAAGCGTGTGCTCGAGATTCCTTCTTCTCTATTTGTAGCTTGTCGCTGCATAAAACATGCGGACACCGAGACTCGGGCCCTTTTTTCGCACGGCGCTGTAATCCACTGCCATATGGTCCGTACACATCTTCTGTTTCCGGCTTTCCAAGCTGCTTTTTTGCCGAGCTCACAACGACGATCCTGTCCACAGTTCATGCGGGACCACTATCTTAACGAGCAGGCGTCGCTCGTGTCATCGTTTGCGCCCAGAAACTGGCAGCCAAATTTTCTACTCTCGTGGGCTTGATAGTCAGTCCAGCATCTTGCACAAAACCAAGGCACGACAGCTCAAAACGTCATTGATGTGTCCGAAATCTCGTCCTTTGTAAAACTTCCTAGCATCCGCAAAATTCGTGAATCTCGCGTTTTTGCCGATAGCTTGTTCGTCATCATGTTTGTGCACATCTATACGTCAAACACACGCACATGCTCTGCTCGTGAGCTACACAAGGATCGGGTTTTACAAACTCCTACGTTTAATTCTCTCCATCTACTCGTGTATTCTTCCGCAATTATCGGTCGAATGCAATACCGAAAAAGTCACACCGCTCGAAAGCAGTTTTTTCGCGCGTGTCATAAAAAGTTGTTTTTCTCCTCGCCCGAATCGGTCATTTTTCAATCAGCCGGCAGCAGACACACGTCGCAGTTCGACGAGGTCTTTTCATGTCGCCGGAGCTGGCCGTGACCCCCGCGCCAGGCCGCGAGCACTTGGGCAGGTGCGCTACGAAGACGAAGAAGAAGGCCGTGCGCGTCCAGGAGCTGTCACCGGCAGTCGACGAGCGCTTCAGTAGCTCCCCCAAGCGCAAGCAGCGACCATCAAGCGGGACAATCGCCACCGACTTGAGGTCGCTTTGTGTCCGACATCCCACCGAGAAGTGGCGCAGTAATAAGCGCGTGCTACTAAATGTGGTGCCTAGTGTGAGACGAAGAAACGACGAGATGGTGGTGGTCGAAGGGCAGCTGGTGGTCGCGGAACAGGTCGATCGAGGTCACGTCCGACGGGACCCGCCCGTCTTTCGGACACTTGGTCTGGTGAGACGCGCTGACTTGGTCTGAGTGTACTTTAAAGGTGTGCTGATACTGTCTCTTGTGCGGCAGGTTCATTGTGTTCTCGTGCGGAAGAGCACGGGGCTGTTTCTTGAGAGTGCGTCGAAGCAGAGCCATCTTGCTCTGGTACTTTCCTGTGGACGTCATGGACTTGGTGGTGCACGAGTTCTTGGATAGTGAATGCAAGTTCCAGCTGCGGTGTCGATCTGGTGGTGCAGATCAGGGGCTACGAGCTCTGTCGTATGTCTTTAAGGCTTCGACGAATACGGAGTTTGTCGAGTGGGTGAACGGGATTCGTGGACACGAAACGGGTGGTTACTGCACGGATCGAGATAGCCTTGGGGGCGAACCGGTTGGAGGAAGAGACGACTTGGAGGTGTTGAGCCAGGAGCAGCCGCAGCTACCTCTGGGAGAATTCATGTACACAACACCTCCAAGAACCAAGCACTTGATTCTGGTACGTCATGGCCATTACGTCAATGCTCATGTGCAGCGAGCGTCGGACACTCAACAGGTTCTTTCACAAATGGGAAGGCAGCAGGCTGCACTGACTGGCAAACATCTGAGAGCGGTTCACAACCGCGTTCCAACCCGACATGACGTTTCTATCTATCATAGTGACATGACACGAGCGGTGGAGACAGCTGGTATCATTGCTGGTGACTTTGGGGAGGTCGCGATGAGTCCAAGCTCGTTGTTGCGTGAAGGGTGGCCCGGGAAACCATATTCGTCTGCTTTTGACGTGGGCGAGACTGCTACCGCACGCGCTTCTGACGTGATGCAGGAACAAACTCAAGTGGACGTAAAACGGATGGAGAAGGCATTCCAGTGGTTTTTCGATGACTCGATGAACGCCCAGGAAGAGAACAATGAAGAGTCGTACTGCATCCTCGTGTGTCATGCCAATCTGATCCGGTTCTTCCTCTGCCGTGCGCTAGGCGTCAACCCTGCAACCACATGGGGTCATTTCGAAGTCAATCACTGCGGCGTCACACGTATTGACGTGTGCGCCACTCGGCCGATCAAGGTCGTTGCCGTGAACGAAACTGGCCACCTCCCGCAGTCCCTCATCACGTCCAGCGAAGATCATCTGTAAAGCGGATGTCGAGGAATGCACATTGGTGCAGGGACCTCTTTGATGTCGTCAACGTGTTAGACCAGTGTAGATTTAACGCTCTCGAGTCGACAAGGACATCGAGCGTTTACAATGGTACGATTAAATGTAAACATCGTCTTGTCATACAGCAGCGTCACTGACGTGAGTTTAGTTGGAAGTCTCCAAAAAGAAGAAGCAAGGAATCGTATCAACTCGCAGTTCATTTACATACGCGCAAAGCCAAGTAATCCCAGGGGAGAAGTGACGCACCCACACTAAACGTTACTTCACACAAGATGTTGCGTCAAACGTCGCATCACGAACGACTTGAACCCTCTCTAAACCGATCCGAAACCGATCCACCGCTTCGTGATCCTATCATTGAAGTGTCGTCACTCCTTGGCCACTTTTCAATTTGCCGTCTAGGGCAGACGTCAAAAATCTGCTCACGAGAAGGCACAAAAGCGTGTTTCAAATGCGGTGGACGGATCTTTTCCTCCTCGTCGCAGCAACCACCACAGTCACGGCTACCTCCTTGTTCCCTCTCGGACGCCCAATCAGTACCGGCTACGGCTACGTGCGCAGTCCCGACCGCTCCGTGTCCCTCACGTCGCCTCGACCACACGATGTCCTGGACGTGGCCCAGCTGCCCAGGGAGTTTGACTGGCGCAGCGTTAATAACACGCGCTACGTGACGATCTCACGGAACCAGCACATTCCGCACTACTGCGGCTCCTGCTGGGCCTTTGGTACGCCTCCCCCCTCTCTCTTTACTGTTAAACTCTTGTTGCTTTTTCACCCACACGTCCCTATTTGTACTTGTTTTTCTATAGCGGCCACGTCAGCACTAGCTGATCGCATCCACATTGCCAAGGCCCGTCATTCAAGAAACCAGTCACCTGTAGAGGTGCATCGAGAAGTGGTGCTCTCGCCACAGGTGCTACTGAACTGTGACATGAAGGACAGCGGCTGCCATGGCGGGGACCAATTGGAAGCTTATCGCTATATGAAGCAGCACGGCGTGCCGGAAGAAGGGTGCCAACGGTACGCAGCTACGGGACATGATACAGGCAATACGTGCACGGACACGGACGTGTGCGAGAACTGCTTGCCTGTTAAAGGCTGTTTCCCACAGAAGACGTACGACAAGTACTATGTGTCTGAGTACGGGACGACTCTTGGGGAAGAGCAGATGATGGCGGAGATTTACGCTCGTGGTCCAATTGCGTGTACTGTTGCAGTTACAGACGAGTTCCTTGCGTACACAGGTGGACTCTTTGATGACAAGACGAATGCGACGGAGGTGGATCACGCAATTTCTATTGTTGGATGGGGACACGAGAATGGAGTGCCGTTCTGGGTCCTCCGCAATAGTTGGGGCAGTTTCTGGGGTGAAGATGGCTGGATGCGTCTCAGAAGGGGGGTGAACAATCTAGGCATCGAAGGCGAGTGTGCGTTTGGAGTGCCGAAAGATGACGGCTGGCCAACCACCATAACTGCTGAAGATGATCGGAACGAGAAAGAGGACGAAGACGGTCTTCAGGTGGAGGAGTCGGAACTAGGCGGCTGTCGACAAAAGCTTCATTTTCCAGGCGGTGAACGCGTGATTTCGCAGTTGCCTCACGAAACGATGGAGCTCAAGGATCTTCCGAAGACATGGGACTGGCGTAATGTCAACGGCAAAAACTACGTGACGTGGGACAAGAATCAACACATTCCAAAGTATTGCGGAAGCTGCTGGGCTCAGGGCACGACCAGCGCTTTGTCGGATCGCATCTCCATTTTGAGAAATGGTACGAAGCGTTGAATGATGAACGGTGACATTACTGCCATGTGTTAACAGGTATTGCACTGACCGATCTTTTGTATCTGGAATGCAGCATCTTGGCCGGAAATTGCATTGTCGCCTCAGGTCCTCATTAATTGCCACGCTGGCGGCACTTGTAATGGCGGCAATCCTGGTATGGTGTACGAGTATGCACACCGCCATGGTATCCCTGATCAAACGTGCCAAGCCTATCGGGCGACGAATCAGTTGTGCGACCAGTTCGCCATTTGTGAAACGTAAGTCTGCAGCCGGTGACTTATATTTGTTCGTAACTTCTAACTGTCGCTTGCGCACTGTCGCTGCTAACTGTCGCTTGTTGTTCCTGATTCAGCTGCTGGCCGTCAAAGGAGTCATTCTCCCCTGGCGTATGCGAACCGATCAAGAAATTCACGAAGTACTTCGTCTCTGAGTATGGCTCTGTCAGTGGTGTCAATCACATGAAGGCGGAGATCTACAAGCGCGGTCCTATTGGTTGTGGAGTGCACGCCACGAAGAAGTTTGAGGCGTATACTGGCGGCATCTACTCCGAGCATATCATGTTCCCTTTCATCAACCACGAGATATCGGTAGCTGGCTGGGGTTATGACGAGGAGACGGCCACAGAATACTGTAAGTAGCAAGCTCATGTCTTTGCTGAATTGTACTGATGTTGCATTTGTTGACAATCTAGGGATTGGGCGCAACTCGTGGGGGACGTATTGGGGTGAGAACGGCTGGTTCCGCATTCAAATGCACCGCAACAATCTTGGCATCGAGAAGGAATGCGACTGGGGCGTGCCGATCCCGGACGGCTCGAAGCCTGCGGACTTTGTCGTGTCGATTGACTACCAGGGCAATGAAGAGGCTATTGGTGTGACCGCGGCTAGCTTCCTGCACGGAAGTGACGGTGTCATTTAGGTGACCACCATTGACGGAAGCAGGAACAAAGGAGACGAGGTACCGCTCTGCACGACTGCGTGCAAATAGCCCGGATCGGAGTCGTTCTTCCGTGTTAGTATGATTTGGTTGGCAAGAGCTTAAACAACATGGAGCGTGAGAGTATGACTACTGTTGAAGCGATCGCCGTCACTTGTCAATTCGGAAATCCAGGCTAAAACCATAATGATTGTGATGCATGAAATAAGTGGTCATGGTCACGGATTGCTGAGTCTGTTACTTTGCTTTGCTGGTGTTTTTCGCATGCGTTTGTGTCTTCAGACTCGGACCGAACACAAGCACGGCAAACCATCTACCACCGCAGAGTTTAGGCCCCTGTATTACCACCATATTTTCCGTCGTACAGGTCGCTTAACGCGACTAGCATACCACTTACAAAAGCTTATGATCATCGTACTAGAGTGACAACGAAACTCCGTTCAACATCGCAGCTACCCCTTCAGCATAGCTGAAGCATGTTTGCCGAAATGCACATGATGATAAAATAGCGGCAGTCGTCTAGAGAGGCTTCTCTTACCGGCTGCACAAGCCATTTTGTAGGTCTGCCGCGCAATTAAACGAATCACAAGTAGCAGCCAAGAGCCTAACCTTGTGCTTCATCACGGTCTGATCTCCAGTTTCCTCCTTTGACAAATGACAAAAAAGCGTTGCACGCCAAACCCACCACCAAGTGATTTATGCTCCGCTCTGCTTCAAAACAGTTGTGCTGCATTCCATAGTGACGCGCTGCAACGAAATCCCACGTGACAGTCGTTCATCCAGTCTCAATTTGTTTGTCGTAATGGTGACCGTCCTTATTACAGGCGCTCCGGCCCTGCTCAAAGACGCTTCCGTAGGAATGACGTCAAATCCAGGTCTTCATTCAGTCGCGCTTCCTTACAAGTGATTGGCATAGTTGATATGGCTAACACCACACCATCAAACCGAATTGGCCATCGTCTTCATCGTAGGTAAGTGCTCGATCAATGGAGTCACAGTAGCAGTTGATGCTAGCAAAAGTACCATCGACACCATCCTTCTGGAGTCGATGCGCTTAGCCGGTCCGAGAACCACGCCTCTTTGCATCCAGAAGCGAAGACTCTAAATGCTCACAGAAAAAAACGGATGCTTATACCATCATGACAAGAGAGTGAATTCATACCATGATAGTCAATACAATCTATTTGGTTGGGCGCAAAAAAACGCATACCTCATGGCTTCAGCTTGCACACACCCATCAGCAGCTCCTCAAGGTGAGATTCATCTTGATGTTCATGGCGGCCAACTCGTTGGCCAAGTACCGGAACACGTAAGGCATGGCGACGGGCTGGCAGCTCTCACCTGTTTGGCAAACTATACAGTACCACTGAGTCTTGGACTTCATCGCGATAGCAATCTCTCCCTGACCAGCAGTCTCGACTGTCGCCCGTTGCGTTGCATTCGACAGTAGACTGCCACAATTCGTGCAGACAGTAGCAATGTGCTTATCGGAACAGTTCATCAGACGGTCTTGAAGGAGGAACGCACAACCGTGAGCAAGCATGGAGTCGCGCTCCATCTCGCCAAAACGAATACCTCCACCCTTCTTTCGACCCTTTACCGGCTGACGAGTGAGCGAGTTCATCGGACCCGTAGCGCGCACCTGGCTCTTGTCGCTGACCATATGACGCAAACGCTGATAGTACACCACGCCGATGTAAATGTCTGCCTGCATGATTGTGCCCGAAATGCCAGAGTACAGTGGCTCGCTGCCCATGTAGTTGTAGCCGTGCTCCTTCAACTGCGAGCCAAAGTAGTCAATTACACGGTCCTTCTCGCTAAACTGGAATGGCGTGGCATCCATGTACTTGCCCTTCAAAGCACCCGTCTTGGCGGCCATTGACTCGATGAGCATACCAATGGTCATACGCGACGGAAAAGCATGCGGGTTGATGATGATATCGGGGGAAAGACCAGACTCTGAAAATGGCATGTCGGCCTGTGGCCACAAGATACTCATGACACCTTTCTGTCCGTGGCGTGATGAAAACTTATCACCGATCGTCGGGTTACGGCAGAAACGCAGTTTGATGCTAGCTTTAGTGAACTCAGACGTCTGGGATGAACTGCCGATCATATTTATCTGATCGATAATGGCAGGTTCGGTCTCTTTGTGCTTCTGGAAAGAAGGTAACCCCGTGGTCTCATCGATCCAGCTCGCGATAGGGTCACCGTTATTTACAACTTGACCGACGTGCGGGAACCCATCGCGATCCAGCTTCGTGGAGCAGAATTCACCACTGCCATCAGTCTTGATGTTGGAGAAGTATTTCTTCGACGTCGTACTGCCCTGTTTGCCACTGGAGCTAATGTCCACAACCAGCTGCTTGTACACAGACGCATGACCAAAACCACGCTCGTACGAGGATTTGTTCAAAATCATAGCATCTTCCATATCAAAACCAGTGTATGAAATCACGGCTACAACAGCATTGGTGCCCAACGGGTACTCGTCCAGCTGGTATTCGCGCAGACGCTCATTTTGCACAATAGGAATCTGCGGAGACTGGATACGGTACATTTTATTGTCCGAGCGGTGCACAATCGAGTGGGCAGGCGTACCCATGGTCTGCTTCGCCATTTGACATTGATACATGTTACGAGGAGACTGGTTATAGTCGGAGAATGGTGTCAAAGAGGCCACGAGGGAAAGCATATTGGTGGGCTTGATCTCCTTATGCGTCGTAGCCGGCCGAACGTCATCATTCGTACACGCAATGTCCATAAACACTTGTTCCATTGGCCCGATGTACTCGATACGATTGGTGTCCATCTGCACGACTGGACGCGACATGCGTGCAGCATCGGCCGACAGATACAACCCTGGAAAGGGTCCACCACGGGTAGGGGAGATAAGACACACTTCCAAGTTTGGTACAATACCGTTAGCATCCCGCTCGTCCGAGCTCTCAGCTGACTTGATCTTGCGCAAAACGCCTGCAATGCGCTTGCAGACGTCTGCGGGCGCACCACCAAGTACCTTGCCATTCATCATCACAGGCAGGTACGAGTACGGAACAATCAGGGCGCCGTCAGCGTAACCCGATGTGGGAATCATACCGAGACTTGCCAAAAGTCGACAAAGTTTAACTTCTTGCTGCAGAAAATTATCGGCCTGAAACGCTGGATGACAAACGAGTTGACACTCGACAGCTAAATGGTTCAACAAACCACAAGGAGATCCATCGGGAGTATGTACAGGGCACAGAAAACCCCAGGAGTCGGGCAACAACTTACGCACGGCTGTTGTCTTCATTTCTGTAAAGAACTGCCCGCGGTGGACGGACCGGAAGTGGGAAAAGTAACGGTAGTAGTTTAGCTTCTCCGCGACGATCGTGTACCCCGCGATTTGTAGCAAATCAAGACCGCTTGTCGATCGGAGGTTGCCAGTGTTGAGAAAATAGGTCATTGCGTTACCTATGTTGGGGCAACGATCCCACATTTTGCGCAAGAAAACCTGATCCATTACGATGCTTTTTTTCTTGTTCTGCGTCTCTTTTAAAATGTTAGCACGTATTGCTGCGAGCGACTCTTGCAGTTTCTCCTTCATGATCATCAGATAGAGATGCCCAGGAAGCAACAGTTCGTGGTTCATGACAGAATCGGAATTGTCCTCAGGAATATCACCCTTTGCAAATGCATACAGCTTGCGCAGCATAAGACACAGCAGCTCCACTTTCTGCGTGCGTCCTTTCTCGCCCTTCGGGATGTGTACGAACAAGAATTCATCAAGGAGCTTGCTGCCAACTTCCATATTGCTCATGTTGTCGCATACGTACGGCATAGCAAAACGAAAGTGCTTGCCCAAGTACGCCAGTGCTTCATCACGCGAGTACAGTGAAAACTTCTTCGCTTCGCGTAAAATCAGTTCCACACGAGCAGATAGATAAGTGTTCTCGTGGTCTCCTCGCAGCACACGTTCGTAAATTTCACGGTCCGTCAGCGGATACAGTGCTTTCAGCACCAAGCCCACTGGGATCATAAACTCCTGCTTCCTCACTCCAAAACGCACGGTAGCATTACCATCTTCCAAGTAATGGACAGTAACTGTTACAGCAGTCTGGTCGCGCTTCACGCACTTCATAAACACAGCAAGCTCCGTGTAGAGGTCACCACGATTAGCAAAAGCACCACGACGTACAGCCATGATATGGTGACGCCGCGGCATCTGCAATAGACGCACACAGCGCTCGTTACCATTACAGATAAAGTAGCCACCCATTTCATTAGCCTCTTCCTGAGCCTTGACAAGGCCCGACGGCGTCATGCCGTTCAAATGGCAGCGTTTGGAGCGCACCATTATAGGGATCTCACCCACTACGCGCTGAATGCGCTCCACGTTCTGCGAGCCACCAAAAGAGCGTGCAAGTGTCACAACCAGCGGGGCCGTGTACGACACCCCACGCTGACGGCACTCACTGGGCAAGAGCTTCTGCTCTCCCGTGATCTGGTTCTCTGTGGTCGGGTATCCAACCTGAGCATTCTCGATCCAGAGGTCCATGCGGTGTTGGTTTGGCAGCTCAATAGGTACTTTGCACATATCAGCAACAGCCAAGTCCAGACCTTCCGATAGAAAAAAGTTGAACGACTCCAAGTGCGGCGCCACGAGCTTCTGTAGCAACTCATTGCTAATTTTGCACCAATTAGTTCCACATGCAAAAAAACATTTTAGTGGTTGTACGTATGAAAATTGATTGTAAGTAACGCATTAGTCTTGTAATTACTAGAGAAATGATCCATTCCGAGATGCTACTGCACGTACGTCTTGGCTGGCACTGAGCGCGAGCACGACGACGGATTCGTAGCCGGCCACTCCTTGACGTGAGTCTTTGGCGTCGTCTTTTTCGTCCGAAAGCTCTTGTCGCCCGTCATGGTTCGTAGCGCTGAGACAAGTGCGTCGCAATTGCAGCAACTGAGTGCGCGAATGGAAGTCCAGTGAGCGAGTCGTGCACTTGTTTGAGACCAATCAACATGAAAAACCTCGCGGCTGGGCGTAAAACCTCGATGCCAGAGGCTGGTAGGGAAGGATGGATCGATGTGATTGGGCGAGAGCACGATCGACTTTGAAAGGGCAGCGTGATAACATGAGGGATGAGGCACAAACGTGTGTACCCATTATTACGAGCGTAGATGTCAATAACATCCTTTCGTGAAGATGCATTTCAAGTAATGCATCATCGGATTACATGATCTATCGAGAGCTTTGCATCGATCACGAAGACGTGTGTATGGATATGCGACGGAGACGTCTGGCATAGAGAGCTTAGTAGCCAAGAGCACTTCTCACGACTGGGGAAAACGTATCGAGTCGTTTTTCTTTTCGACCTACTTCATCAACTGAGATGACGATATCAAGGCATGTGGTCATTGGTGAAAGCCCATTCTTGTTGGCTGGCCAGGTATGGTAGACAGAGGTGGATCTTCGCAAGAGCGATTAGCTTTGTCGTTTACTCCTGTTCTACTTTACACATTCATGTTGATAGAACAGCTACCGCGCTTATAGCTCGTAGGACACGATTATCGCAGGTCGATCTCGTGCGACAGAAGCTGAAACAATCGACGCTTCTTATCAGCGAAGTTTAAACGCAGTGTGAGCATTTTGGAGAGAGATCATTCGATGTGAGCGATGTTTGTGAAGCTGAATCATCTTCAACTGTACATTTTGATCGAGTAGGTGGCGGTCTGCAAACAATGTATCCAGACAAGTCGTCAGCTCGTCAACTGTCACGCACGTCGTACCGGTCTTGAATGCATGGTTTAAGACCCGCACATCTTCTCTGTATGATTGCCTTCGACTCAATTAGCTTGTTTTTGTGTCTCTTTCACAACGATATGGCAAGAGTGATCTGCCGATATTACTGAGGGAGCAGCAACTCGTTTGAAAATAAGTTTTGCGGGTCTTTTACCTTTACAATTCTAGCTGTACACGACAAATAAAGGGTCTCGCGCATCATGCCAGCCACCGTTCCATCTGAAAGAACGTCTCAAAACCCTTTGATGATTAAAATTGGCGTCTATCATGGCCGGCGTGTACCTAGTTGCGGGTGCTGTCTATTCAGGTTTGGTGTCGCATGGCAAGGAACGCGACGCATCTATGGTGAGAAAGGCAGTTGTTTGACGAAGATAAAAATGACGTCAAAGGGACCTGCTGTTGGTGTGATTGCGCTTGTCACGAGCAAGATCATGCAAGTAGCTAGATTCTGGGATGCTACAGCATCCACAGACGACAGAAGACACAGGTACACTTCATAATCCCATTCCACCGCTCTTAACTGTCAAAATAAACACTATTCAGTGGGTGTTCTAGCTTTCCGATAATCAGCACGCACGAATAGTGTAAGCGGATCGTCGCACCGAGAGAATCGTGCCATTGACAAAGAGTTGTATTTGTGTGATGCTATTGGATCGGTACACGTGAAGTTGGGTTGTGGCCCACTTTTTCGGTTTACTGGAGCAGGTTCGAAAGAAACAGCAACTTTTGGTCATCGTCGTGCGGAAGCCTCTCATCGTCTCAGCATTCAGGTTGAGGATATACAACCCAGAGTCGAAGCAATTGTGCGCATGGACTCAACCGTGTTATCCAAATGACAATTAGTTTAGGATGTTGAGCAGTGTCATCATGGGGATAAAGTGCTGCAAGACATGGAACAGTTTTAATGTACGGCCAAATTCCTTTCATTTGTATCAGCTCCCAGCAGCGATAGATAAGTGGTTCTTATCGTATCTGCAGTAGCTAACGCATGCGGACGGATGTTCTATCGGGGAAGAATCTTCTTCATGCGAGTAATGACCTCCATGTAGCGGGCTACCGTGTTCTTGACGACATCTAAATTGTAAGACGACTCACCCTCACTCAAAAATGCCGCTACAATATCTTCAGGATTTTTGCGCTTCAGGATCCACGAGATGAACATCTGGTATTCGAGCTCGTACCCGTACTCCTCATACAACGGATCCATCTTCAGCATGAAGGCATATTTTGCAGTATCTGCAATGCCATTCTCCCATCCATCATTATGTAGCTTTAGGAAAGAGAACGGGACACGCCTGATGAACTGCTTGAGTTTAGGTCGGATGTTCCTAAAACCTGGGGTTCCATGCAGCTTAATGGTCAAGCTCACGAAGTCGCCTTCAGGACGTTCTCTGCCTTTGTAGTAATCCTCAACCATCCGGTCGACTTCCCTGTCCCACTTGCAGACGATGGGGTCAGCAGTAAGTTCACCAACCAGGGCGCGGAGATGAGCGTCGATGGTGCCGCCAATCTCGGCTATGGCTGATGTGAACCTAGTGATGAGCTCGCTAACAACTCCTCCAAGAAGACGCGACCGATCTTCATGTTCCTCAATCCCGTTAAAGGAACGACTTCTCAGCAAGACTTCCTTCGCAGTCTTGGACTCGATTGCATCAGGCGCCCCGACCTCCATTTCCCTGAAGCCCGAGGTCGAATCAGCAGTGGCAAGCAGCGCGCCACTCATAAAGGGTGCAAAGATGTATAAATATCGCATGACTTGACGTTAGAAGTGTTCCAAAGAGGATGTTGAGCAACGGAGCGCCAAACGAAGAGTGGGATTACATGTTACGGCACATCAGGCGACCCAGAGGAGGCACTCGGTGTAGAAGTTGCAAATGATTGCTCGTCATCAGATGACGTCCAGATCAGTTGACGTAGATATAGAAGAGGATATCGGCGTCATCATATGTCTACTGCACTCTTCAATCTGCAGTGAATAGGTAGGGGAGTATAAAAAAGGCGCTTACTGGCGTCAGCCAGCATCTTTCAAACGACGGCTTCAAAGCCGTCACCAGGCCCCCCTCCCGATGGGGGAGGGGGCGCCCAATCTCGGTCGACCGTACCTCAGGAAAGTTGTAACGGGGTGAATCGTTACATAACAATTTATAAGAAATTGTTAATAGAATATAACTATAAGAGTTATATTCTCAGAATATGGTCATAAGGACAAATATTCTGTAGCACTTACGAGTAGTTCCTAATTGGTTGATAAGGCCATTATATCAACCAACGGAGACGCGCCACGACAGACGCACGCAATGAGTGGTGAGCAGATAACTGATTTACACATTTGTATTTAGACATAGTTAGATGAAGATAAATAGTGATTTATTGCAGACATTAACTATTATAAATACAGTTCTACTTTTTACTTTAACCAAGTACTCGCTTCTTCTTACCGTCTTCCTCTGCACGTACGAGTGTACGTGAAGTTACGAGGCACCGCCTTATTCTGTCATCAGAATAAGTAGCTTGTACTGTCACCAGTACAAGCTTCAGGGTGCCCCGTTACACCTGGTAGCACTTCGTAGTCCGTCCAAGGACCGCGTTCACATCCAACATGAATATGTTGGATGATGAAGATGACCAAAGCTTTCACGCTACACGTGCCGGCTACTCCCATTTGAGCAATGTCGAATGGGATGCGGTTGAGCGGATGGGCTCAACCATGGGCATCCACGCTGTCAGCGTCATGCTAGAGGCTCTCAATAGAAATGCCCAACATGCTACTATCGCCAAGTTCATTCAAAATGAACTTGACGCTGAACGCGAGAAAGTAGCCTTGCTTCACCAACAAGGTTCTCAACAAGCAGAGTTGTTGAGAAAACAGGGTGCTCAATAGTTTGAACTGTTGAGACAGCAGCAGGCTGCTGCTGGTGGGTCGATGCACTCGCGTCGACCCGAAACCTTGAAGATTGACATCTCCAAGTATAGGGGAGTCGAAGAGGACTCCCTCTTGAGATGGTTCGTCGAATTGGATGACGCCATAAGGGCGCGTCGCATCGACGACGGGGATATGCAAGTTGCATTTGCCCAGTCAAATCTGGCAGGACGTGCCAAGACTTGGGCACTGGGGCTCAAGTTGCACGACCCATATGCGTTTGGGTCGTTGGAAGTCTTCAAGTCGCGGCTCAGACAAACGTTTGAACCGCCTAGAGCTGAGTTCAGGGCTCGAACCGAACTCTTGAAGCTCAAGCAGGGTAAGCGTGATGTGCACGCTTACGCTCAACATACACGACATCTCACGAGTTGTATAAGTTCCAATCCGGTGGACGAACACACGTTGGTTTCGGTGTTCATGCAGGGTCTTGCGGATGGTCCCGTCAAGACTCACCTGTTCCGGCTTGAACTAGATTCACTAGAACAAGCCATTTCCATTGCGGAGCAGGAAGACTTCAGTCTGAGACAGGCTCGCGCCAGCTCGACATCATATCGTCAACCGAGACGATATGACAACGGAGGTCCAGAGCCGATGGAACTCTGTTATGTAGAGAGCGAGAAGGCTCGCTCTACAGGCTACAAGAAGTTGCAGAGATGCAACAGATGTCAAAAGACAGGACACTACGCTTACGAGTGTAGTGCCCCTCGTCCAGTGTCTCGCGACACTGGGCGTAGTGACCGTCCACCCACGAGAAAGGGGCAGGGACGAGGGTCCGCAGTTGGTGCAAAGACGCAACAACGGGATGGACCGTCAAAAAACGGACAGGATCAGTAGGTGCGGAGCACCCTACTGATCCAGCAACGTCAAGAGAATTTGTAGGCCTCTTGATGAAGGTTGCTCCCAACACACAAACGTTGTGCGTTGCTGCTCTAGGTAATGAGGTCTCACTCATTACCTTGAAACTCGAAGTGACAAATAAGTTGTCCCTTCGAGCTCTAGTCGATTGTGGGCCGTCCAACAATTTTGCGCGACGCCAATCGCTAGAAGATGGTCACTTTAAGTTCAGTGAATGTGACACACCTCCTACGAGGATGACGGTACGTCTTGCGACAGGCGCATCCGTAACCGTCATGAAGCGTATAGTGAAGATCCACTATACGCTAGAAGATACCCAATATGACGATGACTTTATCGTATTGGATTTGGATGACAAATTTGATGTCATCCTTGGAATACCGTGGCTCAGAAGGTACGAACCACGGGTAAACTGGCAACATCGAACAGTAACGATGCCTGCCGCTTGTTCATCAGATGGCCATCTGATGAACGTTTTGGAGCGTCCACAAGCGTATGGATGTACTACGAGTGAGTGCGATGGCCTCACTTGTGGTACGGTCGTTAGTACGACTGCACAAAACCTTAGTGTACCAAACGGTTACACTTCGGAGCAAAGTTCCGGCGGCTGTGAGGAAAAACAGGCTGCGCCGAAGGTCCACCACTCGAATAAGTCGAGTGGACTGGGACAAAGATGTATCCCTAGCGGGGAACATCTAGAAGAGAAACAATCGATCGCTCAGGTTAAGCGAAACGATAATCCTGGATCGACTGGAGAGTCTTTCGTAGAGGATCTCGCTGTGGTTGCGCAACCCCAGCTAGAGAAAGTAAAGGGAATAAGTCCCAAGATTACAAATACAGCGGAAATAAGTTCCCCGAAACCCGCGGGAATAAGTCCCCGGGAAGCCGAAGGAATAAGTCCTTCGAGGCCTGAGGGAATAAGTCCCCAGGAAATGACAGAGACATTGAATGTCATAGTCAATAACGGATCAAGTGTAGGCGCTTATACACTTGATCTGATTGCGCCTCCGAAGTTAACTTCGGAGATCACTCAGTTGCCAACGCTCGAACATAAAAGGTTCTTGCGTGATCTGCGTAGTGGCAAAGTCAAGCAGATCTGCATACTCGTCGCTGACGACGAGTGTGTAACCGACATAAGGTCAGCAACAGTGTTTACTGAGAACGAGAGAGTTCTCAGTAGTTCATCTATGGACGAGAGTGTCCTAGATGAAAAGACACGAATTGAGCGATATGACTCCCAATCATGGGAATCGCTCAAGAAAAATCCTCTCTATGAAGATTTGGTTGAATTCAAGGATGTATTCCCTGAAACTGTTCCGTGCGAATTACCGAAGGATAAAGGTATTCGACACGAGGTCGAGCTTAAACCAGGCTCGAAGTACTGTGTCATGAAGCAGTGGCCACTGCCTCGTGAACAAGTACTTGCGATCGACAAGTTCTTTGCCGATCGTTTAGCTGCGGGCCATGTGAGGGAATCAACTTCCCCACATAGCTCTCCGACCTTCTGTGTGCGAAAAGCAACAGGAGGGTGGCGGATAGTGCATGCATTTAACAAATTGAACGCTGCAACGGTACCGGCTCAGACGCCGATACCGAGGAAGGACGTAATCATTGATGGTATGTCAAAGAGTACCATCTTTTCGTCCATGGATTTGATGGATGGCTTCTATCAAATCCTTATGCGGGAACGGGATATACCCTATACCGCAGTTAGCACGCCTAGCGGCATGCTCTGGGAATGGCTAGTAATGCCACAAGGGCTTAGTAATGCCCCTGCCACGTTCAACAGATGTGTATCACATCTGTTGAGACCAGTACGAGAATTCGCGCCGAGTTATTTCGATGACGTATTCATCCATAGTCGAGCTATGGATGGAAAGTCGGACGTTGAGGTTCACAGGTACCACGTCCGACAAGTTCTTACAATCATGCGAAAGCATCAATTGTATGCTAACCTCAAGAAGTGTATATTTGCAGCAAGCGAAATACCACTTCTTGGGTGCATCGTTGGTAAGAACGGTGTACGTCCTGATCCCGAAAAGATCAAGGCGATCACCGACTGGCCTGTGCCGGTTGATGTCAAAGGTCTTCGAAAATTCCTTGGGCTAGCGGCGTATTTGCATAAGTATTCACGCAATTACGCCGAGATGACTGTGCACCTCTCTCGTTTGTTGAAAAAGAACGAGAGGTGGTTATGGAACGCTGAATGTCAACGCTCCTTTGAGGGTATCAAGCAGAGCTTGATACAATCCCCAGTCCTAGCAATAGCCGATCAGGACAGGCCATTTCATGTGGTCTGTGATGCCAGCGATTTCGCAATCGGCTGTGCATTAATGCAGTACGATCTTGAAGGCGTTGAACGCGTCGTCTGCTATCAGTCGCGTCAGCTGCAACCAGCTGAGCGGAACTATCCAGTGCATGACAAGGAACTCCTTGCCATGAAGTATGCACTCGCGAAGTTCAGAGTCTATCTATTAGGAGATAGACCCTTCGTTGTTTACACTGACCATGCGTCATTACGCACGGCAGTGAACAGCCCGCACCTTTCACAACGAATGGCGCGGTGGTTGTCATTCTTTGCAGAATACAACTTTACGGTCGAGTACAAACCAGGACGACTTAATGTCGTCACTAATGCACTCTCACGTCGTCCCGACTTTGAAACAGTCGTGAAACCCAACAGTGAGACAGTCACTGTTGCCCTTATGACGTCCTCAGTCCCATCTACAACGTTGCATGATGATGTGAGGCGGGCATACGCCCAAGATGGTGAGATTGTGAAGTTGTTGACACATCTCTCCCAACCATCCCGAGAATCGTTGAAACGATTGTCGTCTGCGTATCGATCTGCATCAGATCGATACACTACTCACAACGGTTTACTGTATTATACAGCCGTTTCTGGTGACACACCACGTGTTGTCATTCCAGATGATACTGATCTGCGTTTGCGGATCATGTTCGAGTATCACGATGCTCCTATAGGAGGACATCGTGGCCGGGAGAAAACATATCTCACGGTGAGTCGAGACTTTTACTGGCCCCGCCAGTATCAGTTTGTGCGAAAGTATGTTCGCGCATGCGAAGTCTGCCAACGAGTGAAGTCAAGTCCTTCACTGCGTGCACCTTTACAGCCTCTACCGGTTCCGGCTGAGTGCTGGGAATCCATCTCAATGGATTTCGTCTTCGGGTTACCCAAAGACGCACGCGGGAATACGGGTATTCTCGTATTTGTTGACAGATTCAGCAAAATGGTACACCTTGTGGCTGTACCAGAGACAATCACGGCAAGTGGCTGTGCTTGTGTCTTCATTGACACCATCTTCCGACTTCATCGGTTGCCCCGTGAACTCGTATCAGACAGAGATCCACAATTCACTGCTGATTTCTGGCGTTCCGTGTTCAAATCACTCGGAACGCGCTTGAAGATGTCAACCTCTGATCATCCAGAGTCAGATGGTCAGACGGAACGTGCCAATCGTGTCCTTGAAGAGATACTTCGAGGATACGTACACTCCTTTAAGAGTTGGAGTGAGTTTTTGCCAATGGTAGAGTTTGCCATTAACAACTCGGTGCATGCGTCAACGACACATACACCGTTTTACGTGAATGGCTTGCGCCATCCGCGTGTACCCACCTTACTAGAGTGTAACTCTGGTTTAAGGGGGGGAGGGACTCGCGCGAGCAAAAACCGAATGGTTCACGCTCATCACGCTCTGACGAAGAAGTCATTGCGTTTGATGCCGATATCGATAACATCGATATCGAAGAAGATGATGCCAGTGAGAGTGCGGAAGCCCTCACTGAAGAAAAGGTTGATGTTGCTACAGTGTGCTCACAGCGCACTGAAGCTAAGGAGTCATCAGATGAGTTCATACTGGCTCGTGAAACGGTAGTCCGTTTTGTGCAAGACTCCATCGCCGAAGCGGTGGACAAGCAAAAGCAAAACGCTGACAAGAATGGAAGGGCAAACACTCTTTTATTTCATAAAGGTGACTTAGTCCTACTGTCTACGGTTAATCTACCAAAGCATGTAGTGACTAACTTGGGTAGCAGTAAACTACTACCCAAGTACATCGGCCCATTTCGTGTATTGCACCGCCTAGGCAATGCATACACGATCGAGTTACCACGTAAGATGCGAACGCATCCCACGTTTTACGTTGGTCAGCTTAAGCCGTACCATCAGTACGCTGCTTCTTCCGATGAAGAACGCCCTTGCGCTCAAGCATCTCGCAGAGAGCCTTGTGCTCCCGATGGTGGGCATCAACAAGGGTCTGAAGAGCAGCTATCTCATCCCGAGACCGATCAACAATCCCACGAGCTACCCTTAGCTCGTCACGAAGAGATGTCAGAGATCTCTCGTTCTCAAGCTGAGCAAAGGCAAACTCAGCTCGATGCTTCGAGGCAGTGTCCGCCGTTTGGAGACGCCTATTCCGCTCATGCTCGAGATCGTCGCGTAACCCTTGCGTTACGCGATCAAAGAAGCTCTCGGGAACACACCGATCCACATGATCGTGTGGAGAGCGTCTTTCCTCCTCCTCCACCTCCATTAGAGGACTCTCGCGGTGGCCAGCGCTATCTAGTTGAGCAGCTGTTGAACCACCGCGACGTGAACGGACGTCGGACGAGTTATCTCGTCCGGTGGCGCGGCTATCCCCCGTCCTGGGATTCTTGGGAGCCCCGCTCCCAACTGATGATCGACGTACTGGGTCTGGTTGAGCAGTACGACGCGGCACATCCTGTGCCGCAGAAGGACCGCCGGAGAAAGTCTTCCCGGCACGGTCGTAAAGGGATTTCAGGTTGTCAATCACTTCGTACATCTCAGTAGAGACACGTACGCGCCACCACGGGCTGGTAAGGAGGTAAGCCTCCTTAGGTGCTCTTGCAGAGTTGTTCACACAACACGGGCACGAGTCTCCCCAAGAGAGGCAGGGTAATCCTTTCTCCCTTGACAGACGATGCAGCTTGTAGCGTGCACCTGTCGGGGTTCGCTTTTCAAACTTATCACGAGCTTTGATAAGTTTGTCGTTCCAAGCGTCACGACCTACATCCTCAAGGTTATGGATGTAGGCGTTCCACGCTTGAAGTAGTGAGGGACCATCACGCTCGTGGTTCCCACTGTACCATCGATGTCTGAAGAAAGCATCGATGAAGAATTCATGTTCAGCGCGATAGTTTTGGGGTCAAGGTGATGGATCCTTGACGAATCGAACAATCGTGTTCGATAACGAGCACTCGTCGTCGCCGACAAGTGATCCATGACGGATTTTGGAGGCATCCATGCCTTCTTTTCTGGAGCGAGACGCAAGACATTGCGGTCCCGCTCTTCCTGCGACGTGCCGACAGAAGTACTGGCACCTCGTTGCGAAGTGGTGTCCATAGGAGAACCGACACCAGTGTTAGCGCCCGAGTCTCGCGATCTCGAGCGCCTACGCTTCGGCGATGGTTCATCTGATTCATCAGATGAACCAAAGATGCTGCGACGCAAAGCATCGTCCATACCACGCTTGGCAGGCGGCTTAGATTCAATCGCCGTCGATACGGATCCGTCATCCGTATCAGGAGAGTACGAGACACCGAGCTCGTACTCTGTGAAGACACGAGTGTCTTCATGACCAGCGCCTGCATCACCAAGTGACACAGGCTGGGTCGCTTCAGCAACCGATGAGACATCAGTTGCTGTTGATTTCTGCTTCGGCGTCCGCACAGAGACGTGCAGACGCGCTCTCGGCGGCCTTGCTCGCGCATCGCATGGGCTTGTTTACCTTGCGATGAGATGTTGGGAAAGTGGACTCGGACCAACAAGTGCAAACCCTGTCCCAAATGATTTGGGACGAGTATCCATTTAGTCAATCAGTCACTAAAGTGACTGATGGTTAAGGGGGGTGATGTAACGGGGTGAATCGTTACGTGACAATTTATATAAGAAATTGCTAATAGAATATAACTATAAGAGTTATATTCTCAGAATATTGTCATAAGGACAAATATTCTGTAGCACTTACGAGTAGTTCCTGATTGGTTGATATAGGCCATTATATCAACCAACGAAGACTGCCACGACAGACGCACGCAATGAGTGGTGAGCAGATAGTTGATTTACACATTTGTATTTAGACATAGTTAGATGAAGATAAATAGTGATTTATTGCAGACATTAACTATGATAAATGCAGTTCTACTTTTTACTTTAACCAAGTACTCGCTTCTTCTTACCGTCTTCCTCTGCACGTACGAGTGTACGTGAAGTTACGAGGCACCGCCTTATTCTGTCATCAGAATAAGTAGCTTGTACTGTCACCAGTACAAGCTTCAGGGTGCCCCGTTACATCTGGAGGAAACAGTAGGAGCCGGGATACGTGCGTGAGCAGACATAGCTTGTGGCGGGGATCTGTTCGACATGGCACGCTTTAGGTGAGGGTCAATGTCGGTGTCCCCATCTGCCTCCAGGGCAACCGGTGTTGCGAGATGGTCGGCCGGATGCGGCGCGATGCTCGGCTTACACTCCCCCGTTACTGGTGCCGGATGCAGTGCTATACTGCCATCACTTTTGTAACGGGGCACCCTGAAGCTTGTACTGGTGACAGTACAAGCTACTTATTCTGATGACAGAATAAGGCGGTGCCTCGTAACTTCACGTACACTCGTACGTGCAGAGGAAGACGGTAAGAAGAAGCGAGTACTTGGTTAAAGTAAAAAGTAGAACTGCATTTATCATAGTTAATGTCTGCAATAAATCACTATTTATCTTCATCTAACTATGTCTAAATACAAATGTGTAAATCAGTTATCTGCTCACCACTCATTGCGTGCCTGTCGTGGCGTCTTCGTTGGTTGATATAATGGCCTATATCAACCAATTAGGAACTACTCGTAAGTGCTACAGAATATTTGTCCTTATGACCATATTCTGAGAATATAACTCTTATAGTTATATTCTATTAACAATTTCTTATAAATTGTTATGTAACGATTCACCCTCGTTACATCACCCCCCTCCTAACCATCAGTCACTTTAGTGACTGATTGACTAAATGGATACTCGTCCCAAATCATTTGGGACAGGGTTTGCACTTGTTGGTCCGAGTCCACTTCCCAACATTTCATCGCAAGGGTAACAAGCCCATGCGATGCGCGAGCAAGGCCGCCGAGAGCGCGTCTGCACGTCTCTGTGCGGACGCCGAAGCAGAAATCACAGCAACTGATGTCTCATCGGTTGCTGAAGCGACCCAGCCTGTGTCACTTGGTGATGCAGGCGCTGGTCATGAAGACACTCGTGTCTTCACAGAGTACGAGCTCGGTGTCTCGTACTCTCCTGATACGGATGACGGATCCGTATCGACGGCGATTGAATCTAAGCCGCCTGCCAAGCGTGGCATGGACGATGCTTTGCGTCGCAGCATCTTTGGTTCATCTGATGAATCAGATGAACCATCGCCGAAGCGTAGGCGCTCGAGGTCGCGAGACTCGGGCGCTAACACTGGTGTCGGTTCACCTATGGACACCACTTCGCAACGAGGTGCCAGTACTTCTGTCGGCACGTCGCAGGAAGAGCGGGACCGCAATGTCTTGCGTCTCGCTCCAGAAAAGAAGGCATGGATGCCTCCAAAATCCGTCATGGATCACTTGTCGGCGACGACGAGTGCTCGTTATCGAACACGATTGTTCGATTCGTCAAGGATTCATCACCTTGACCCCAGCGCGAAAGACTATCGCGCTGAACATGAGTTCTTCATCGATGCTTTCTTCAGACATCGATGGTACAGTGGGAATCACAAACGTGATGGTCCCTCACTACTTCAGGCGTGGAACGCCTACATCCATAATCTCGAGGATGTAGGTCGTGACGCTTGGAACGACAAACTTATCAAAGCTCGTGATAAGTTTGAAAAGCGAACCCCGACAGGTGCACGCTATAAGCTGCATCGTCTGTCAAGGGAGAAAGGATTACCCTGCCTCTCTTGGGGAGACTCGTGCCCATGTTGTGTGAACAACTCTGCACGAGCACCTAAGGAGGCTTACCTCCTTACCAGCCCGTGGTGGCGCGTACGTGTCTCTACTGAGATGTACGAAGGGATTGACAACCTGAAATCCCTTTACGACCGTGCCGGGAAGACTTTCTCCGGCGGTCCTTCTGCGGCACAGGATGTGTCGCGTCGTACTGCTCGACCAGACCCAGTACGTCAATCATCAGTTGGGAGCGGGGCTCCCAAGAATCCCAGGACGGGGGATAGCCGCGCCACCGGACGAGGTAACTCGTCCGACGTCCGTTCACGTCGCGGTGGTTCAACAGCTGCTCAACTAGATAGCGCTGGCCACCGCGAGAGTCCTCTAATGGAGGTGGAGGAGGAGGAAAGACGCTCTCCACACGATCATGTGGATCGGTGTGTTCCCGAGAGCTTCTTTGATCGCGTAACGCAAGGGTTACGCGACGATCTCGAGCATGAGCGGAATAGGCGTCTCCAAATGGCGGACACTGCCTCGAAGCATCGAGCTGAGTTTGCCTTTGCTCAGCTTGAGAACGAGAGATCTCTGACATCTCTTCGTGACGAGCTAAGGGTAGCTCGTGGGATTGTTGATCGGTCTCGGGATGAGATAGCTGCTCTTCAGACCCTTGTTGATGCCCACCATCGGGAGCACAAGGCTCTCTGCGAGATGCTTGAGCGCAAGGGCGTTCTTCATCGGAAGAAGCAGCGTACTGATGGTACGGCTTAAGCCGACCAACGTAAAACGTGGGATGCGTTCGCATCTTACGTGGTAACTCGATCGTGTATGCATTGCCTAGGCGGTGCAATACACGAAATGGGCCGATGTACTTGGGTAGTAGTTTACTGCTACCCAAGTTAGTCACTACATGCTTTGGTAGATTAACCGTAGACAGTAGGACTAAGTCACCTTTATGAAATAAAAGAGTGTTTGCCCTTCCATTCTTGTCAGCGTTTTGCTTTTGCTTATCCACCGCTTCGGCGATGGAGTCTTGCACAAAACGGACTACCGTTTCACGAGCCAGTATGAACTCATCTGATGACTCGTTAGCTTCAGTGTGCTGTGAGCGCACTGCAGCAACATCAACCTTTTCTTCAGTGAGGGCTTCCGCACTCTCACTGGCATCATCTTCTTCGATATCGATGTTATCGATATCGGCATCAAACGCAATGACTTCTTCGTCAGAGCGTGATGAGCGTGAACCATTCGGTTTTTGCTCGCGCGAGTCCCTCCCCCCCTTAAACCAGAGTTACACTCTAGTAAGGTGGGTACACGCGGATGGCGCAAGCCATTCACGTAAAACGGTGTATGTGTCGTTGACGCATGCACCGAGTTGTTAATGGCAAACTCTACCATTGGCAAAAACTCACTCCAACTCTTAAAGGAGTGTACGTATCCTCGAAGTATCTCTTCAAGGACACGATTGGCACGTTCCGTCTGACCATCTGACTCTGGATGATCAGATGTTGACATCTTCAAGCGCGTTCCGAGTGATTTGAACACGGAACGCCAGAAATCAGCAGTGGATCGTGGATCTCTGTCTGATACGAGTTCACGGGGCAACCCATGAAGTCGGAAGATGGTGTCAATGAAGACACAAGCACAGCCACTTGCCGTGATTGTCTCTGGTACAGCCACAAGGTGTACCATTTTGCTGAATCTGTCAACAAATACGAGAATACCCGTATTCCCGCGTGCGTCTTTGGGTAACCCGAAGACGAAATCCATTGAGATGGATTCCCAGCACTCAGCCGGAACCGGTAGAGGCTGTAAAGGTGCACGCAGTGAAGGACTTGACTTCACTCGTTGGCAGACTTCGCATGCGCGAACATACTTTCGCACAAACTGATACTGGCGGGGCCAGTAAAAGTCTCGACTCACCGTGAGATATGTTTTCTCCCGGCCACGATGTCCTCCTATAGGAGCATCGTGATACTCGAACATGATCCGCAAACGCAGATCAGTATCATCTGGAATGACAACACGTGGTGTGTCACCAGAAACGGCTGTATAATACAGTAAACCGTTGCGAGTAGTGTATCGATCTGATGCAGATCGATACGCAGACGACAATCGTTTCAACGATTCTCGGGATGGTTGGGAGAGATGTGTCAACAACTTCACAATCTCACCATCTTGGGCGTATGCCCGCCTCACATCATCATACAACGTTGTAGATGGGACTGAGGACGTCATAACCGCAACAGTGACTGTCTCACTGTTGGGTTTCGCGACTGTTTCAAAGTCGGGACGACGTGAGAGTGCGTTAGTGACGACATTAAGTCGTCCTGGCTTGTACTCGACCGTAAAGTTGTATTCTGCAAAGAATGACAACCACCGCGCCATTCGTTGTGAAAGGTGCGGGCTGTTCACTGCCGTGCGTAATGACGCATGGTCAGTGTAAACAATGAAGGGTCTATCTCCTAATAGATAGACTCTGAACTTCGCGAGTGCATACTTCATGGCAAGGAGTTCCTTGTCATGCACTGGATAGTTCCGCTCAGCTGGTTGCAGCTGACGCGACTGATAGCAGACGACGCGTTCAACGCCTTCAAGATCGTACTGCATTAATGCACAGCCGATTGCGAAATCGCTGGCATCACAGACCACATGAAATGGCCTGTCCTGATCGGCTATTGCTAGGACTGGGGATTGTATCAAGCTCTGCTTGATAACCTCAAAGGAGCGTTGACATTCAGCGTTCCATAACCACCTCTCGTTCTTTTTCAACAAACGAGAGAGGTGCACAGTCATCTCGGCGTAATTGCGTGAATACTTATGCAAATACGCCGCTAGCCCAAGGAATTTTCGAAGACCTTTGACATCGACCGGCACAGGCCAGTCGGTGATCGCCTTGATCTTTTCGGGATCAGGACGTACACCGTTCTTACCAACGATGCACCCAAGAAGTGGTATTTCGCTTGCTGCAAATATACACTTCTTGAGGTTAGCATACAATTGATGCTTTCGCATGATTGTAAGAACCTGTCGGACGTGGTACCTGTGAACCTCAACGTCCGACTTTCCATCCATAGCTCGACTATGGATGAATACGTCATCGAAATAACTCGGCGCGAATTCTCGTATTGGTCTCAACAGATGTGATACACATCTGTTGAACGTGGCAGGGGCATTACTAAGCCCTTGTGGCATTACTAGCCATTCCCAGAGCATGCCGCTAGGCGTGCTAACTGCGGTATAGGGTATATCCCGTTCCCGCATAAGGATTTGATAGAAGCCATCCATCAAATCCATGGACGAAAAGATGGTACTCTTTGACATACCATCAATGATTACGTCCTTCCTCGGTATCGGCGTCTGAGCCGTTACCGTTGCAGCATTCAACTTGTTAAATGCATGCACTATCCGCCACCCTCCTGTTGCTTTTCGCACACAGAAGGTCGGAGAGCTATGTGGGGAAGTTGATTCCCTCACATGGCCCGCAGCTAAACGATCGGCAAAGAACTTGTCGATCGCAAGTACTTGTTCACGAGGCAGTGGCCACTGCTTCATGACACAGTACTTCGAGCCTGGTTTAAGCTCGACCTCGTGTCGAATACCTTTATCCTTCGGTAATTCGCACGGAACAGTTTCAGGGAATACATCCTTGAATTCAACCAAATCTTCATAGAGAGGATTTTTCTTGAGCGATTCCCACGATTGGGAGTCATATCGCTCAATTCGTGTCTTTTTATCTAGGACACTCTCGTCCATAGATGAACGACTGAGAACTCTCTCGTTCTCAGTAAACACTGTTGCTGACATTATGTCGGCTACACACTCGTCGTCAGCGACGAGTACGCAGATCTGCTTGACTTTGCCACTACGCAGATCACGCAAGAACCTTTTATGTTCGAGCGTTGGCAACTGAGTGATCTCCGAAGTTAACTTCGGAGGCGCAATCAGATCAAGTGTATAAGCGCCTACAATTGATCCGTTATTGACTATGACATTCAATGTCTCTGTCATTTCCTGGGGACTTATTACCTCAGGCCTCGAAGGACTTATTCCTTCGGCTTCCCGGGGACTTATTCCCGCGGGTTTCGGGGAACTTATTTCCGCTGTATTTGTAATCTTGGGACTTATTCCCTTTACTTTCTCTAGCTGGGGTTGCGCAACCACAGCGAGATCCTCTACGAAAGACTCTCCAGTCGATCCAGGATTATCGTTTCGCTTAACCTGAGCGATCGATTGTTTCTCTTCTAGATGTTCCCCGCTAGGGATACATCTTTGTCCCAGTCCACTCGACTTATTCGAGTGGTGGACCTTCGGCGCAGCCTGTGTTTCCTCACAGCCGCCGGAACTTTGCTCCGAAGTGTAACCGTTTGGTACACTAAGGTTTTGTGCAGTCGTACTGTCGACCGTACCACAAGTGAGGCCATCGCACTCACTCGTAGTACATCCACACGCTTGTGGACGCTCCAAAACGTTCATCAGATGGCCATCTGATGAACAAGCGGCAGGCATCGTTCTGTTCGATGTTGCCAGTTTACCCGTGGTTCGTACCTTCTGAGCCACGGTATTCCAAGGATGACATCAAATTTGTCATCCAAATCCAATACGATAAAGTCATCGTCATATTGGGTATCTTCTAGCGTATAGTGGATCTTCACTATACGCTTCATGACGGTTACGGATGCGCCTGTCGCAAGACGTACCGTCATCCTCGTAGGAGGTGTGTCACATTCACTGAACTTAAAGTGACCATCTTCTAGCGATTGGCGTCGCACAAAATTGTTGGACGCCCCACAATCGACTAGAGCTCGAAGGGACAACTTATTTCGTCACTTCGAGTTTCAAGGTAATGAGTGAGACCTCATTACCTAGAGCAGCAACGCACAACGTTTGTGTGTTGGGAGCAACCTTCATCAAGAGGCCTACAAATTCTCTTGACGTTGCTGGATCAGTAGGGTGCTCCGCACCTACTGATCCTGTCCGTTTTTTGACGGTCCATCCCGTTGTTGCGTCTTTGCACCAACTGCGGACCCTCGTCCCTGCCCCTTTCTCATGGGTGGACGGTCACTACGCCCAGTGTCGCGAGACACTGGACGAGGGGCACTACACTCGTAAGCGTAGTGTCCTGTCTTTTGACATCTGTTGCATCTCTGCAACTTCTTGTAGTCTGTAGAGCGAGCCTTCTCGCTCTCTACATAACAGAGTTCCATCGGCTCTGGACCTTCGCTGTCATATCGTCTCGGTTGACGATATGATGTCGAGCTGGCGCGGGCCTGTCTCAGACTGAAGTCTTCCTGTTCCGCAATGGAAATGGCTTGTTCTAGTGAATCTAGTTCAAGCCGGAACAGGTGAGTCTTGACGGGACCATCCGCAAGACCCTGCATGAACACCGAAACCAACGTGTGTTCATCCACCGGATTGGAACTTATACAACTCGTAAGATGTCGTATTTGTTGAGCGTAAGCGTGCACATCACGCTTACCCTGCTTGAGCTTTAAGAGTTCAGTGTGAGCTCTGAAATCAGCTCTAGGCGGTTCAAACGTTTGTCTGAGCCGCGACTTGAAGACTTCCAACGACCCAAACGCATATGGGTCGTGCAACTTGAGCCCCAGTGCCCAAGTCTTGGCACGTCCTGCCAGATTTGACTGGGCAAATGCAACTTGCATATCCCCGTCGTCGATGCGACGCGCCCTTATGGCGTCATCCAATTCGACGAACCATCTCAAGAGGGAGTCCTCTTCGACTCCCCTATACTTGGAGATGTCAATCTTCAAGGTTTCGGGTCGACGCGAGTGCATCGACCCACCAGCAGCAGCCTGCTGCTGTCTCAACAGTTCAAACTATTGAGCACCCTGTTTTCTCAACAACTCTGCTTGTTGAGAACCTTGTTGGTGAAGCAAGGCTACTTTCTCGCGTTCAGCGTCAAGTTCATTTTGAATGAGCTTGGTGATAGTAGCATGTTGGGCATCTCTATTGAGAGCCTCTAGCATGACGCTAACAGCATGGATGCCCATGGTCGAACCCATTCGTTCAACCGCATCCCATTCGACATCGCTCAAATGGGAGTAGCCGTCACGCGTAGCGTGAAAGCTTTGGTCATCTTCATCATCCAACATATTCGTGTTGGATGTGAACGCGGTCCTTGGACGGACTACGAAGTGCTACCAGGTGTAACGGGGCACCCTGAAGCTTGTACTGGTGACAGTACAAGCTACTTATTCTGATGACAGAATAAGGCGGTGCCTCGTAGCTTCACGTACACTCGTTCGTGCAGAGGAAGACGGTAAGAAGAAGCGAGTACTTGGTCAAAGTAAAAAGTAGAACTGTATTTATAATAGCTAATGTCTGCAATAAATCACTATTTATCTTCATCTAACTATGTCTAAATACAAATGTGTAAATCAGTTATCTGCTCACCACTCATTGCGTGCGTCTGTCGTGGCGCGTCTTCGTTGGTTGATATAATGGCCTATATCAACCAATCAGGAACTACTCGTAAGTGCTACAGAATATTTGTCCTTATGACAATATTCTGAGAATATAACTCTTATAGTTATATTCTTTTAACAATTTCTTATAAATTGTTATGTAACGATTCACCCCGTTACACCGAAGCTTCGCCACCCGCTGGGGTAGAGAATTCGTCGTCGAATCCGTCGTCGAATCCGTCGCGAGCCGCGGCACCCGCTGGGGCAGGGATTCCGCTGTTGGATCCGTCGCGAGCCCCGACACCTGGCCAATCGACTCAATCGGAAGCGTCGGCTTTCAACACCTCGCCTTCTCCGGCGTCCCCCCCCGAGACATGTTTGATGCCCTATTTGAAGAGATGAAGGCATCTCCCGAGCCGGGGTACGTCGATGTATGGCGTCAGACCGTTCAGGAGCTTTTTGAACACGTATTTTCTCGGCTTCCGGTTAGCATGGAAGCTCTACCGCAAGAGCGGAAATGCTTTCCAAAGCTAAAGGGTCCGGAGTTGGACGGTCTCCTCGATTTATTTCGGCAGTGTTTTGCTCGGAGTTCCGGCAAAATATGCCGATTGGACGAGACTTGCTACCAAGATAGGTAAAGATGTTCTGCTCACCAAGTATGCCTTCTAAGAGATTATTCGAAAACTAGCCAGCCAACACAAGTGGGCCACGGCGCCGGTCCCCGACCTATGGGCGCGGGTGGTGCGCCAAGGTGCACAGCCAGTCCAGGAAGGGCAGCAGGGGCACGCGCCTATTGTCTATGATGACTTTATGTTCAACCCAGCACAATATTCCACGGCAGAGGCAACCAAGCTCAAAGACATTTGTACCGCACGTCTCGGCCCTGCTCGCGCTCATCGCTTACGAGAGGTCACAGACGACGAATGGCATGTCATCGTGGGCATAGCTGAAGGACATATCGCGTGTCGTCGGATGCCAGATTTTCTACGATCCGTCTTTGATAGTGGGGAACGTCTAAGGCTCTACAGCACAATCCAGGCGCAGGTCGAAGGACAACTGGTTTTTACTTTTGGTAGAGGTCGTTACATTCCGATCAGCCGACAGACTTCTAACGGTATCACGGCGATGATACATGAATCCGCGGAGCTTCTGCGGGTCAGTCTGACGGATCTCCATCGCTTCCTGGGAATAACGAAGGCTATCAGCTATAGTCGCTCATCCCGAACGATTCACTTCTACTTTTTCTCGAGGGAAACAGCGCAACGTCTTCAGGATGTTCAAATACCCTTTCAGGGACGATTGTACATATTAGAAAACGCTCATCAGCCGGTGCAGGGGGCAGTTTGGCAGAACCAGCGAGGCCGAGATGGTCGTTCGGGCCACTCACGAACTGAGTACGCAATTTTCCTGCACAAAGTGACACGATTAAACGAGGTAGGACGCATAGCGGCTTACTTCAGGTCCAAAATCCCGACGGATTTTGAGTTCGAAGATATGAATACTTGCACTCCAACCTCCCGGACGTCTACAGTATGGAAAGTTACCTTCTGTCTGGCGGGATGTCCAACGTTTTTTCAAGGGATAGTCCGCCTTCTATAGTTTGGAACCCCGATCATCATTAAGCACCCTAACGTGGGTCGAAGCCTTCAATGCCTACAGTGCGGCACCATAGGCCACCCAGCCGTCAGGTGCCAATTTACGGATGCGCAACTCAAGGGGCCAGGTGCTATCGAAGTCACAGGGGCTGAGCTTCAAGATGTCGAAGACTTGGCTAAACCATTCCTTAGCCCGGAGGAGATGCGAGAGATGGCTAGCAAACGGCTACAAATTCAGAGGGCAGCAGACGAGGCAGCTCAGGCAGCTGTCACACCGGCGGCAGTTGGTACAGCTCCCCCACGGCCGCCTCCGACAGTGGAGCCTCAGCGCACCGGGGTGCCCATTCAGCCCGTTTACACTGCCTTTGCCATGCAAGCAGGCTCCTCGGACCCTAAACCGAAACCCCGGCCGGAGCAGCCTTGGCTGACGCGTCCTCTCCGAAGTGGACGGCGTCTGTGGCCCTCACGCAAGCCACCGGTATCGACCGAAAGCCCCGGCTCGGGCTGTTTCCACGTCCTAATAGATATGGGGCCGGAGCTGGAGCTGAACAGTGCGGGGTCCGCTCAAGCTCCTAGCACGGACGGTGTCACGGACGACTCTCCGATTACATCGGAGCCTCCCCCAAACATGGCTCCGGACGTCGCGCGGGCCAGGCCTCGCCTATCGTCAGAAGATCGAGTCCGTCAAAAAGACTCTAAACGACGAGGGGCAGCGCCCGAGATCTCAAGACCGACGCTCCTAGCCAAACAACGTCTCGAACGCAAAACCTGTGAGCGGCTGGTTAAACAGCAACAGAAAGGACGGTGCACTCCAATCCCGATGGATCCTCGTCCAGAGACCGGACCTTTTCATTTAAACGATTTAAAGCGTATTCTAGGCTTACGTGAAGTGCCCACCCCAGCCACTGAAAACTGTTTGGTGATGGCGATCGCTCAAGCCGTCGCAGATTCCGCCTTGGACGCACCACTCACGGTCGTGGAGCCTCTCACGGTCAGTGTTAAGCGTGGTATCAAGTACGCTGGGCTGCTGAACCTGGAAGGTCAGCTCCCACACGACCTGAGGGTCAATACATAAAAAATGTTGGACGCGGGTGGCAGACAATGACCAGAGAGGAGTCGGCAACTTAAATGAGGTGGTTCTTAACAGACTTTGCGCCAACCTCGTCTGACAGAGATACCATAGTTTCGGAATCTTGCTGGGGAGGTAGCGACATATTCGGTATGGCCGCTACTTATCTGCAGCGGGATATCTTTGTCATCCACTTTAAGGATGACAACGAGCAGTGGAGCTGTCGAAAATATCACCCGACAAAGGTGCAGCTGCACGGTCGCGTATTCGACACGGCCAAGGAATACCCTCTATCTATCACGGCTTGCATTGACGATCTGCAAGCGGCTAAAATTGAGGTAACAGACACATTGCCGTTGGTTCTCCGTTTCTGGGGGCGCCATTATTCGGCATTCTTACATACGGACAACGCGGCAGACCTGACATCCTTAACGGATGACTTTAACGGCCCGAACGCAGAGCTGTCACAGCATTCAAAGCTACCTGCGGTAGCCTGCGCTACACAATCGGCACTACATGTGCAGGCTTCATCTGGTACTGGACAGGTGACAACCACTCTGACTAGCGCTAGCCAAACAACCTCGCTCGTCGTGCACTCAGACCAGGGGGAAACAGTCAGGCGTTGGTATTGCGTTCTTCGTAGCCGACTTCGGTTCCCGAGGTATTCAGCGATGACTAGATGGAAGTGAATGTGCTGGCGCAAAAACGGGGCCTCGTCACCTTGCAGTCTGAAGCGGATGGCATGGACGACGACGGGGATCCCAGTTCCCTGGGGGCATCTAAACCAAAAAAAGGCAGAGTCACGGTTAGTCCTCGACAGTCCGAGATGGCTTCCTCAGACGGACGTATTGATCGTGAGGAGTGGCCATCGATTTGGTGCGCCTCAGGATCTGAATGGCCGGTCACGGCTGAGACGTCGTACCCTTTGGTTCATAGTGGAACGGAGGCGTGGCTCACAACGGTGCGAATGGAGCCAAATCTTCTGCTCAATCACGTACGACACTTTGTCTTTCCAGATGAAATACTAGCCAGCTTATCAGACCAGGTTTATGTGCAGTGGACATCCAAGTGGCGACAGGAGTGCCTGGTCTCGGTTCTTCAAGCGTACCGTCTCAGGGTGAAGGATGCCACCACCTCACAGTAGTTAGACCAATGGATTTGACGCGCGCAGTGGAGTCAATCCTCTTCCTCTCTCGCTCCCCTTATTGACAACGGAGATGACTAAAGGAAACTACGAGACTGTAACTATGCCAAAGATGAAATCTTTAGGCTCTGTGACCCGCGACGACGAATCCGTCTAAGTCACCATCTACTTTGCGCTGATTTGTTTGACAAGGAGATACGTGCATTGACGGGGGATGACGTACATCCGCTCACTCTTCCTGATAAACTACGCTGTCATGTTCACCTGCTACGACGAAACAGTCACTATCAAGGGGCAAATTACTCATCGGATCATCACCGGGTAAACTGGCGAACACTCGTACATTTTTTCTCTACATCGTTTGCAACTGCGAAGGAGCGGTTCCTTCTTGAATACTGAGGGCAGCACACGGTTGCACCTTACTCCTGTTTTCGTCATTGTTCATTGGAGGAAGTCGACGCCTATGGACGTGCTCGCTTGCTTCAGGATTGGACCACTCCCCCTGACACCAACAAGGAAACAAATCCGCGACGGGTCGGTGATGAAGTAATAATTACTCAAAACGTGCGAGGTTTTAAATAAAGCACCCGTGCTGGTTGGATGGTGGCGTGGCGACGACAGACTCCTGGACAACGTGTGTTGGCGTGGTGTATCCAAGAAACACACGTCCACACAGTGGAGGAAGCGGCTCAACTGAGTGCCCAGTGGGTTCGCTTGTGGGGTCAGCACCTAAAGCCCGGTGCTCCTCCATTGTCGTTCTGGAGTACAAGATCGTCACGACACGCTGGCGTAGCAATTCTTTTGACCCTGCACTCAGCTGTCCACTCGTCAGTATGTCATCAGGATCGCTGGAGTCCGCGCGCATTAAGCATATCGAATGGAGACATCCTCCTTGTCAATCTGTATGCTCCCACATTACGGCCGGAAGGCGAGGCCTTTCTAACCTCTCTATTATCTTAAAATCTGGACCCCATCAACACGATCTTCGCCGGAGACTTTAACTGTGTACAAAGTCCTCTTCTCGATCGTGCTGGACATCACCGTTCCAACAGGTCGGAAAGTCCTGCCTTAGACACCGTCATCTCTCGGATCGGTTTGGCAGATGCTAGAGTGCTGCGGGACCGTGCGGATGACGACACAACTGACGATTTTGTGGATCATTTCACATATATAGTGGGTGAACGAACCAGCCGAATTGATCGATTTTATGTCCCTGCTCTTTGGGTGGACAGAGTCCAGTGGGTTGGGAAGCGTGTCCCTTTTCAAAATTCGGATCATCAGGAGGTGGTTCTGTGTCTAAGTAATACGACAGGCCTCGTCGACAACTACGGAGTCGAGCAGTGGCTTACCCAATTCAATCATCCCGTCCCGCCCAAGTGATCGACGAAATTGTCAAGGATATGGATGGCATGGCTATTGGTCAAGCTGCATCTACGCTTACTTGGGACATTGAGGTGGCCGAGTGCAAACGCTGCATTCTCCGTGTAAGCGAGCGGGTGAAGCAGCGCCGTGCACGGCTCCGCCATAACTCAAAGCATCGCACACAAAGGCAATTGTTCAATCAGGCACAATGGATTTCAAGCAACATAGAAGACTTACGGCAAGAGCATCTTGTACGGCTCGGCCAAAACCTCGTCAGATCGACAGACCGGTTAAGATGGATATACAACCGAGTGTCCGATTGGGAGCGTGACCAGCACGTCACAACCATCCTACAACAGTACGGTCCAGCATTCACCAGAAACATGTCCATAGCGGGCAAATTCGCATCCGAATGGTCGTCAGTACTCGGTGTCATTCATCGAAAACAGCCTCTTCACGGCCTCAACGCGGCCATTCAGCAATTCGTACACATTCCGACGGAGCGAGTTATCTCGAAGGCAGCCAACGCGGCTCTCTTAGCTGAATATTTCTGCAGCCGAGGTCCTCACGGCCATTGCAGGGCTCAGTCGCCGAAAATCCGCTGGTCCAGACGGTCTCAACAACGATTTTTTAAGGATATGACGGCTCTGATGGTCCCCGCTATTGTAAGGTTTTGCAATAAAATACTGACTAGCGCGGAACCTCCACCCTCTTTTCTAGAGGCCCTGATCATACCACTGAGGAAAAAATTTTATTCAGCGGATGCGATGGACTACCGGCCTATCGCCTTGCTCCAATCTAGTTACAAGATCTTTACTAAGGTATTAGCGACCCGATTACAACGGGTGTTGCCCACAATTATTGGAGATTCGCAGCGAGGGTTCGTCCACGGCAGGCAGATGCACAAATTAGTGATGATGATGCTCTCTCAATTAGCGACGGCTACCATGGACGACACCCTGACAGCCATTAATAGCAGGGTCATTCATGTGCTGGACTTTCGCAAGGCCTATGACACTGTGGACAGGGAATTTCTCTACGAGGCTCTAACGAAATTTGGCTTTTCGGAGCGATACGTACAGCTGATCCTTCGGCTTCATACAGGAACCACGGCGACCTTTTTAGTCAATGTAGAAAAATCCGACCCATTCTCAGTGGTATCAGGTATTCGTCAAGGCTACCCTCTCGCTCCTCTGCTTTTTCTAATCGTAGTAAAGTTACTGGGCATCGCTATTCAACAATCGCCCGTCTTGCGAGGACTTCCGGTACCAGGGGGCACAGGGGGTCTGAACACGTTTTCAGCGTTTGTAGATGACTCAACGATTTTTCTAGATAAAGCGTGTCAGCATGACCAGGCGCTCCGGATATTTTCTCTCTTTAGAAATATGTCTGGGCTGCTCGCTCAGCCGGCCAAGAGTAAGCTGATTTTTCTCAACAAAGGGGTGCGCGTACAGACGTTTTGTGGCATATCCGTCCTTTAACCTGTGAATACATTGCGGTACTTGGGCTATGAAGTAAGTACTGGCGACCTACAACATCGTAATTGGGCGCTTCGCATCAGGAAGCTTCAACGGCGATTATTTACGGCTTCCACGATTGCTACAAGCGTAGGAATCGTGTGATGGTATTGAATTCCATTATCCTACCGGCGATTCTGTTCACGGCTGCGGTTTTTCGACATTCCTGACTTGGCGATCAGGGACGTACACAATTTGTACAAACAATTTTTGTGGGCACACGCTACCACCACAGAAGTGTACCGTCACAAGATTAATCCGGGTCTCTTCTTTACTCCAACTAAGGCCGGGGGAGTAGGGCTTGCATCGTTCGAGGTTGCTATCAAAATACAGCGCACCAAACACGCTCTCCGGTGGCTCACGCAAGCTCAAGACAAGTATTTTGGAGCGTGGCGTTTTTGGGCTCATCAGGGTCAGCCGACTACTTCAGCACTTGTTTTGCACGAACGACCGCGGTCAGGGGGGTGGTCAACCTCTTTGTCAAAGCCTCCTAAAACTTCATTCATAGCGGATATCGACAAGCTCCTAGAGCCTACAGACGACCAATCATGCCTGTTCGGGGATCGGGTATGTACGTACACACCAAGCCTACTCGCCGGTGCAGGTAGCTGGTGGGAAGAGGATGACTGGGTTCTGTCTTATTACTCGACCTTTCCTGAATCATCATCACACACAAATCCTCACTCGAAATCTATTCACCAATTCTATGGGGACGCTTGGATGGTGCAAGAATCCATATATCCAGGATGCACGGGGCAGGCAGTTGCTCGGCTCTACGTATGAACCGAATTGTCCCCTGCTCCATCTCGGACTTGCGTATTAGGCGGACGGGGCCGTCCGAGTTTGTCTTCAGCATACCACCGTCCGGACAGTACGTTACCAAACATTCGCACCCCAAGTTACGACGATGGGCAACGGCGATATTGCTGGCATCCCCACCTTTTCGGATCAAGACTGATTTAGCGCTCCAGCCTCGATTAACGATTCGGCACGCTCCTCCTTTTCGGCATGACTATGACTGGTCCACAGAATGCCGGGGTCGTATATCTAGAGTGAGAAGGGGTCACAAGGTCCCAGAGGAAGATAGGATCCGCCTGACGCAGGCGGCCAACGGGTTTCGCTGGTTCTTCACTACAACGTTTCCAGAACTGGAGACGGAAAGTGAAGTGGAAAGGGCTACATGGCTTGAACAACTTCAGCAGCACGGCGTAGTATTTTACGCTCATCCTCGACATCATCGGTTCCTTGGGCGGTCGCAGATGCGGTGTAAAATGCATCCATTCGCACAACAATTTCCCGCCTGTCGTTTAAGCTTCACAAACGTCAGCTCGCTGTGGCATCACGACCACTGATGCAGCGCCTGGAATCTGCCACCAGAACGGACCAATGGCAGCGAGCTGTAGCGCATCAGCGACCGTCTCAAGTTTGGGACCATGCACATGGGCTCACAGAATACCAGGTGTGGACTTGCTATCGTATAGCAACCAAGCAGCTCAACCTTTACCATGAGAATCGTAACGACGACAATAGCTGCCGTGCACATCAAGCATGTCGAGGGGTTCAAGAAACACTGGCTCACATATTCTGGGATTTTCCGAAGGCGCGTTCGTGTTGGGCAGAATTAATTGGTCATCGGACCAGTGAAACTGTGGCAGACCTGTTTGGTTTTTGTCAATATTTAGGCAGTGCCAATGGTCAAGCCCCAGATATTTCACCACGGCTGCAACACCGGTTGCATAAACGATTCACGGATGACGCAGCGGCAGGGGTCCGCGTCTGGAAACGGATTTGGTTTCTCATGAGTACCATGTACCTCACCCACTTATGGCAGGAGCGAAATGATGCGGTTTTTAGGGGTGTGCTGACCACGGCATCGCATAGTGTATCCCGTTTTTGGGAGACAGGGTTACGTCAACTCTTCGCGCTGGCTAAACGTGAGCATCGGGGTATCGGTACCGTCGTCTAAGGGGCTCTCTTGCATGCCGGCATCGAACTTTTTACCCAAGCGCCCCGAGACATCGGGGTTCCTCCGGGTAACAGTCACGAAACTCTTCCGGATCCGGACTTGATTGATTCCCTGGCTCAGGAGTTTTCAGACATCTTGTACATAATCACATGTTA